TCCAAAGATTTGGGGGAAAGCATCGAGGTGGGCAAAAATCCCAAAGATTTGGGGGAAAGCATCGGGGTTGACAAAAATCCCAAAGATTTGGGGAAAGATTTGGGGCAAACCATCAAAGTGGGCAAAAATCCCAAAGATTTGGGGGAAAGTATCGGGGTGGGCAAAAATCCCATGGATTTAGGGCCCAGCTGGAGAGAAGGGAGGGATCCATGTGGAGCAGGAGAGGGGTGGGTGCCTCCTGCCAGCGTTTTTTTGGGGTGCAGGAAATCATCCCAGTGTCCCCTCCCATCCACTGACTGGTTTTGCAATCAAACTGGGAGAGCTTTCATGTCTGTGCCAAGGAAAAAAAAAACCCCAAAAAAAAACCCCTAAAAAAAGCAACTAAAAAAAAAAAAAAAGGGATAGAAAAGTTTCTAGTTTAAAAGTTAAAATCCCCAAGTGTTAAATCCATCAGTGCCGGGGGGAAAATGAGAAATCAAAAGCCCAGAGATGGGAAAGGGGAGATGGGACCCCAAAATCCCAGAGATGGGAAAGGGGAGATGGGACCCCAAAAGCCCCAGAGATGGGAAACTGGAGATGGGACCCCAAAAGCCCCCGAGCTGCTGCAGCCCCCAGCTCACCCCAACACTCACCGAGCAGATGAAGCCACTTTTGGCCCCTCTCCTTTCCCGGGCTGACCATTGCTCCTGGCAGGATTTTCTGGAAGGATTTCCTCCCTGGAAAGGGGCTCAGGGATTGGGAAGGAGGTGCCCAGAGAGACGCTGGAGTCGCCATCCCTGGAGGTTTTCAGGTTGGGGCTCGCAGACAGATCTCAGAGCTCAATAAATCAGTGAATTCTGTAAAAACTCTCAATTTTTTTGTGTTTTTTTTTTTTTTCCCACCCCTCTCCAACAACCCTAATCAAAGCAGGCCAGCAGCACGATAGGTAATTTCTTTTATTGCATTTTATAATGCCGTTGTCCATACAGATTACATGCAGCTAGACCTACTGTACAAGGGTTTACCGTCTGCCCAGGCAGACACACGGAGCTCGAGTACAAAGACACAGCCAGGCGAGTTCCTTGAGGCAGGGCAGGCAGGGGAGGGAGGGAAGGGGTCACTTTTTACACACCCACCCTCCCTCTGCCCCCTCGCAGCTCCCCAGCATCACCTCCCCACCCAGCGCCGATAAAACAAAAAAAAAAAGGGAAAAAACCAAATAAAATAAAAAAAAGGTTGTGGCAGGGCTGGATGTCCCCAATTTGTCGTGGATCCATCCCCACCCCTCCACCAGCCCCTGGCTCTGGAGTGTCCCGGCCTTCCCCAGCATTTCCAGGACAAAAACAGAAATCCAGGGGGATGCTGAGGTTGGCCAGGGGTGTAAACAAAGCAAAGAAACCCTTTGGTTTGGTGCAGGTTCAGCTGCTGCTCCTCTCCAGCAGCTCCTCCCTCCCAGCGCTGGGGTCTGACCCCCTTCCCCAGGTTTGGGGAAAAGAAATAATTGAGGAATTAATTAAAAAAACAAAACAAAAACAAACAAAAAAAAAAAACCCAACATGGAAAAGTAATTCCTTCAGTGGGAGATACCAGAAAAATGCCTTTAAGGCCCAGGGAGGTGTCCACAGTTGCCCCTCACAGAAGTGCCCCAAGGGTGGAGAGAAACAGGAAATAAATCACAAAAATACAGAATAACCACCCCACTCCCCCTAAAAAAAATCAAAACCAAACAAAAAAAAAGTACAATTTGTGTTGGTAGGTGGAAAGCCAGAATATTTCTATCTCAATATATACAGACACACAATTCTGCCACGTGTTTGGTCCTTGATCCTCCCTCCCGCAGCGTTTGAGGTAAAACTCGCGGAATTCCGGAAAATTCCAACCCAAAATGAAGCAGAGGGGTGGGAGCCTGCAGAGGTGGCCAGGCTGGCTGGGGGTAAGAGAAAAAATTAAATTTACCCCTGAGTATCAAACTGGAATCGTGGAATTCCCGGGGGGAAAAGGCATCACCTGGAGCCACTGGGCTTTTCCAAACCTGTGCATTGTGTTTCAAGGATATTTAAAAAAAAAAAAATCCTTTTTTATATTGATATATTTATTTTTATATATATAATATCTAGGGAGTGCTCTTGGGAGCTGGGATGGGGCCAAGGAGCATCGGGAATTCTCGGAGCAGAGGGGAAGGAGTCAGGTCCCTGTGGGTTTGGGGGTGTTGGGGGATTTTGGCTGAATCCATGGGGATTTGCAGGATTTTGGGGGTGTTTGTACCTGTGGAAAAGTTTAAAAAAATAATCACACCCCGAGGAGGTGGGGAAAAAAAAAAAAAGGGAGAGGAGGAAAAGGGGAGCAGCTACTGAACCCCCCCAAAATCAGTGAGGGGGATGGAAAAGAGGGATAATAATTCCCAAAATCCCAAAAACCTGCGGAGGGTGAGAGCATCCCAAAGTCTGGAGGGTCCAGCCCTTCCTGCTCCTTCCCAGGAATAAAGCAGCAAAAGGTGATAAAACCCCCATGGCAGCTGTAAACTTGTTCCAAAAATGACTTAAATTAAGGAGTGGGGGAACAAAGGTGAAAAATAAAAAATAAAAGGGAGAAAAAAAAGAGAGAAAAGAAAAATGGAAAAAAAAAGGAGAAAAGAAAAAGGAAATCAAAGGGGAAAAGTAGAAAGAAAAATGGAGGAAAAAGGGAAAAATAGGGGGGGAAAGTGGGAAGAAGAAAAAAGAAAATAGAGAAAAAAGAAAGAAAAAGAAAAAAGGAAATGGAAAAAGGAAAAAGGAAAGAGGGAGAAAGGGGAATAAAGAAAAATGAAGGCAAAAAGAAAAAAGGGAAATCAGGGGAATAAAGAAAAAATAGACAAGGAAGAGAGGCAAAAGGGGGAATAAGGAGAATAAGGAAAAAGGAAGAAAAAAGGAGAAGAGGAAAAGGGGGGAAACATGGAAAAGGGAGAGAAAAAGAAAAGAAAAAAGGGGGAAAACCAGGAAAAAAAATATAAAAAGAGGAAATAATAAAGTAGATGGGGAAATCCACGGTGCTCGCAGCTCCTTGGGAAGGATGGGGGGGGACTGGGATTGATGGGGATGGACTGGGAACAACTGGGATGGACGGGGATGGACGGGGATGGACGGGGAACAACTGGGATGTGGCAGCAAAATGTGCCCCCCAGCCCGGGCAGGATCTTTGGTGCCCGGCAGAGGCCGGGAAGGGGCTGGGCACGGGGAATGAGCCGGGAATGAGGCAGGAATGAGATTGGAATGAAATTGGAATGAGCCGGGGATGAGCCGGGAATGAGCCAGGGATGCTCCGGGAATGAGGCAGGAATGCTCCAGGAATGCACCTGGAATGAGCTGGGAATGAGGCAGGAATGAGTCGGGAATAAGCCGAGAATGAGACTGGAATGAGCCGGGAATGAGGCAGGAATGTGCTGGGAATGAGCCGGGAATGAGACAGGAATGAGGCAGGAATGAGCCGGGAATGAGCCGGGAATGAGCCGGGGATGCTCCGGGAAGGAGCCGGGAAGGAGGTAGGAATGAGGCAGGAATGTGCTGGGAATGAGCCGGGAATGAGCTGGGAATGAGCCGGGAAGGAGGCAGGAATAAACCGGGAACGCTCCGGGAACGCTCCGGAGGGAAGCGCGGTCCCGGCGCTCGGCACCGGCAGCCGCGGGTGACACCTAGAGGGGTGACCGGGGGAGCGGGGAAATCCCGGGATAGGCCCGGGATCGGCCCGGGCAGCGCCCCACCGAGCCGAGACACCCCCGGGGACACCCCCGGGGACACACCCGGGGACACGAGGGTGGCACAGGGGGGACACGGGGACCCCCCAAGCCCCGCAGCCAGCCGGGCACGGAGGATGTGCTGGGCAAGAAGGATGAGAGGAGCCCAGGCTCATCCCACAGCACCGGGAGCTCCTTGGGGTGTCGCAGAGGTGACACACGGGGATGGGTGACACCTTCCCCTGACCCACGGCTCTGGGTGTGGCACTTCCAGCCCAAAACGCGGTTCCCGTGATGCCAGCGGCGACACAACCCCCGGGAATGTCACATCCCGGGATAACGGGGCGGAGAGGGGCAGAGGAGACCTCGGGGTCGCTTCAGAGGGCCCAGAGGTGGCTTTAAAAACCAGAGCAGCTCCAGGTCCAGGACAGCAAATCCCTCGAGACCCTGCTGGGTGCCAGCACAGCCAGAGCCAGCCCGGCTGTGCCAGGGAAGGGGATGGTGCCAGGGAAGGGGATGGTGCCAGGGAAGGGGATGCTCCTGAGGGAAGGGGATGCTCCTGAGGGAAGGGGATGCTCCTGAGGGAAGGTGATGCTCCCCAAAGCCACCACGGGAACACTGGCAATGCCACGCTGCCTCCCAGGAGGAGCCTGGCACTGGGTACCCACATCAGCACCCCAGAAAGAAAGAGCAGGGAGAGGAGGGGTGTTTGGTTGCGTTGTTCACATTATTATTAATTTTTTTGTGGTTTCTTTTTTTTTTTTTTTTGGCATGAATACCATCTGTTCACCTGAACTACGGACCTTCTGTCTCTAGAAATCTTTTGGTATCTTCCCATCTGGACACAAACAAAAGGATGAGGAAAAGAAAAGATGAAAAGCAGAATTTCCTCCCCCCCCACCCCCCACCAGCAGCAGGCTCAGCACAGGGGCCACAGCCAGATTTGGCCACCACAGGGATCCTCCAGGGCCAGCTCTGATGACCCCCATGTCCTCTGCAGGTGCTCAGCCATGGGGATCTTGCCCCTTTGCTCCACCAAGCCCCTGGCCCAGCTGTGGGGGTGGAATGGGAGGCACAGGGAGCTTTTCCCTGAAGTGAAATGGAAGCAGTGGCCATCCCTGCTGGCTGGGAGGTGGCACCGCTGCGGCCGATGTCCAGCAGGAAGGAGGGAGCTGTGTCCTGGCTGGGGGTGGTCAGTGCTGCTGGGGGTGGTCAGTGCTGCTGGGGTGGTCAGCACTGATGGTCAGCCCTGCTGGGGTGGTCAGTGCTGCTGGGGTGGTCAGTGCTGCTGGGGTGGTCAGTGCTGCTGGGGTGGTCAGCACTGATGGTCAGCACTGCTGGGGTGGTCAGTGCTGCTGGGGTGGTCAGCACTGATGGTCAGCACTGCTGGGGATGGTCAGCACTGCTGGGGATGGTCAGCACTGATGGTCAGCGCTGATGGGGATGGTCAGCACTGATGGTCAGCACTGATGGTCAGCACTGCTGGGGTGGTCAGCACTGATGGTCAGCACTGATGGGGTGGTCAGCACTGCTGGGGATGGTCAGTGCTGATGGTCAGCACTGATGGTCAGCACTGCTGGGGATGGTCAGTGCTGATGGTCAGCACTGATGGTCAGCACTGCTGGGGTGGTCAGTGCTGATGGTCAGCACTGCTGGGGATGGTCAGCACTGATGGTCAGTGCTGCTGGGGTGGTCAGCACTGCTGGGGATTGTCAGTGCTGATGGTCAGCACTTCTGGGGATGGTCAGTGCTGATGGTCAGCACTGCTGGGGCCAGCAGCCCCCCAGCAGCTGGGGCTCAGGGAGGGTGGGTGATCTGGGAGGCCGCTCTGCTTGCCAGGCAGAGGTGACAAGAGGACACTGTCCCACCACCGCGCTGGTCCGTGTCCATCCCGGCTCCGTGGCAAACCCCGCATCCGGCAGAGGGTTCAGCCCCGTTTCTGCTGTTTCTTCCCCCAAAGCTGGGTGGAGGCAGCACGTGGGCAGGGTCCACGATCCCTCCGTAGTGCAAAACCCAGCGGGGGACACGGAGGTGACGGCGGGGTCCTGCCATCGCTCCCCGGGGCGCGGGCACCACGGGGAAGAGGGGACTGAGGAGGGACCATTTCGGACAGCAACAACCAACCTACCATCCTCGTCCACCAGTCACTAACCAAGGGAGGAAGGCAGGAAAAGTCCAGCTCTTGGGGTTTTGCTTCTCGTGTCGTGGCGGGGCCAGTCCGTCCCCGGGCAGTGGCGGCGTGAGGGACACGCCAGCAGCAACAGGTCGGTGGCGTTGTCATCGTCGTCGTCCCAAGGAAAACCTTTTTGCTTTGTGGAAGTGCCTTGAAAGAACCAGGGTAACGCCAAGGTCACCTTGGGGAGGTGGGAGCGTGGCTTGGTCTCCGTCCAGGAGGGTGGGAAGGGTTTGCCCCTCGGTGGGGGAGGAGGAAGGAGTCCTTAGGACAAGTCTTCCACCGGCAGCTCCTCCTCCAGGTCCCTGTCGTCGGGGATCGTCACATTCTGGTTGGTGGCGGCCATCAGCGACACGGGTCTGCTGTCGTCCTCCGCCTCGGCCGGCTCCTCCTTCACGTGCACGGGGTGGCTGTGGGGAACAGGAGCCCTCAGCCTCGGGGAGTGGGTCCCACCACCCAAAACCCCTCCAAGTTTCTGCTCCAGAAGCACCCTCACCCTGGGGATGGGACCCAAAACTCTCCTCGCCCTGGAACAGGAGCTCACAAGCAGCTCCTGGTGGCTGTGGGGAAGGGGAGCCTTCAGCCTCGGGGAGCTCATCCCATCACCCAAAACTCCCTGAATTATTTGGTCCAGAGCCCCCTTGCCTTGGGGACAGGAGCCAAAACCCCCTTTTGCCCTGAGAGTGGGAGCCCACAAGCAGCTCTGGGTCACTGTGGGGAGGGAGAGCCTTCAGCCTCGGGTTGTGGGTGCTACCACCCAAAACTCCCCAAAGTTTTTGGTCCAGAGCCCCCCTCACCCTGGGAACAGGAGCCAAAACCACTCTTGCTCTGAGAGCACAAGCAGCTCCTGGTGGCTGTGGGGTGAGGGAGCCTGCAGCCTCGGGGAGCTGAACTCATAACCCAAAAATCCCTGAGATTTTTGGTCCAGAATCCCCTCACCTGGGGGTGAGAGCCCACAAGCAGCCCCTGATGGCTGCAGGGAAGATGAAGCCTTCAGCCTCGGGGAGTGGGAGACAAAACCCAAAACTCCCTGAAATTCCTGCTCCAGAACCCCTCTCACCCTGGTGATGGAACCCAAACCCCTCACCCTTGGGATGGGAACCCAAACCCCCTCACCCTGGTGATGGGAACCCAAACTCCCTCACCCTTGGGATGGGAACTCAAACCCCCTCACCCTTGGGACAGGAATCCAAACCCCCTCACCCTGGTGACAGGAACCCAAACCCCCTCACCCTGGGGACAGGAACCCAAACCCCTCACCCTGGTGACGGGAACCCAAACCCCTCACCCTGGGGACAGGAACCCAAACCCCCTCACCCTTGGGACAGGAACCCAAACCCCTTCACCCTGGTGACGTGAACCCAAACTCCTCACCCTGGGGATGGGAACCCAAACCCCTCACCCTGGGGATGGGAACCCAAACCCCAAACCCTGGGGACAGAAACCCAAACCCCCTCACCCTGTTGATGGGAACCCAAACCCCTTCACCCTTGGGATGGGAACCCAAACCCCCTCACCCTGGTGACGGGAACCCAAACCCCCTCACCCTTGGGACAGGAACCCAAACCCCCTCACCCTGAGGACGTGAACCCAAACCCCAAACCCATGTGCCAGCCCTGCTCAGCACCCCAGCAGGGCCAGGCTGACCTGTACTGCTGCGGGGACAGGCGGGGGCTGTTGCTGCCGTTGCTGTTGACCTGCTCCACGGTGCTGCTGACGTCGTCGTGGCCCACGTGCAGCATGGCGCTGGCCGAGCTGGTGTTGATCATGGTGGGGCTGCTGAGCAGGGGGAAGCTGCTCTCCGCCAGCGCAGCCTGCGACAGGGAGCACGGGTTGGCACGGAATTTGGGTCGGAAGGTCCTTAAATCCCGTCTCATCCCACCCTCCCTGTCGTGGGCAGGGACACTGGGTCTCAGATTCAGTCAAAGAAAGAAACTGAGAATTTTTAGCCAGGCAGAAGCCTGAGAAAGAGCTGAAGAGGAATGTAAATAATTCTTTATGTCTCTTGTTTTTCACATTATTTATAGTTAAATTCTATCACTGTACGTCAAACACTTTGTGCTAATGGTGTAAGTTATTTTCACTTCAGGACCAATAGAGCTGGTCCTCATGAAGCTCTGTATAAAAGAGTGGTGTATTTTGAATAAACCAAAACTTTTACTCTCAACATCCTTCTGGTCAAAGTCTCTTCATTCCCGTCCTGTCTCAACAGTGACAGGACACCTTCCACTATCCCAGGTTGTTCCAAGCCCTGTCCAGCCTGGCCTTGGACGCTCCCAGGGACGGAGCAGCCAAGCAGATCCCAACAAATTCTTTGGAATTTCATGCCATTATGGCTGTCCTCTCATTGTATTCTAAATATTTCAGTATTTAGTTGTCAGTATTAAGGCCGGTTCCTGCAGCCACAGCTGCTCTGGGAACCTGTGCCTCACCCTCACAGGGAATGATGTCCATATATCAAACCTAAATTTCCTCTCGTTCAGGCTGAACCCATCCCCCTTGTCCCTCATTTCCTGAGGAGAAGCAAGACCCCAGTGGAGATCAGGACTGTGGAGGGCTGAGTGTCCCCATGTCCCTGTCAGGACCAGGGCTGGGTCCTTACCTGATAACTTGCATTAAGTGCTCCGTAACCGAGTCCTGAAATCATATTTTTGACTAAGGTGGGACTCCTGTAGGAAGAGAGAAAGCAGAGGGATGCAGGGCTGAGCATCCCTGGGGACCGGGGTGGTGGTGGCAGCTCTGGGGCCGTGTCCCACGGGGGAGGAGCACCCACCCTGTCATCTTTGGTGGCCTTCGCTTTTGGTACTCGTGCTCGTCCACGGTCCACACGGCGCCCTTGACGTTCTCCACGCGCACGAAGCACTTGTGCAGGCTCAGGTTGTGGCGGACGGCGTTCTGCGGGCACGCGGCTCTCGGTCAGTGCCAGACCCTCCTCTTCCTCACCGCCCTCCTCCCTCCCCAGCCCCACAGCTCCCGGGGGTGTCCTGCCACCCAAATTCTCCCCACAGCCCCTGGGTGCTGCCTGCACTGGCACTGAGTCCTCACGACCCCAAACTGCACGTGGGGCACGACCCGGCCTGATGCTGAGGAAGGTGGGGACGGGGTGGGACGAGGGACAGCAGCTCCACCAGCTCTGGTGATGATGCTCAGCAAAGCCAGCTCCTCTTTCCCTTCCTTTTTCTTTCCCCCCACCCACCCCTCCTCTCCTGTTTTGGTCCTTTCCCTCCCTTTCTTCTTTACATCGACCATCTTTACATTTCTAAATGTAAAATAAAGAGACACACACGTAGGCAGACAGCGCAGCCCCGAGAGATACCAGCTCCCTTTTCCCCTTCCAACTCCCTGCCATTTGCTACTGCCCCTATTTCATTACCAATTTTAATTTGCCTCTAATTAAATCCTGTGTATTTTTCCGACTCACTTGCTAATCCATGAGGGAGGCAGGAGGCTGGAGTGGAATCTCTCCGAGCTATAATTACAAAGGGCCTAATCACGCCGGGGCTCTGCCTTTGAATAAATTTCCTTGCATTAAGGTTCTCAGATTCTCTGCCTTGCAAATGAGAATGACCCCAATTTCAGGAAGTTGGCCTCGGAGGGTTTTTTTTTCTCTCCTTTTTTTTTTTTTATTTCGAGTCCTGATTCGTGATGAGAGACTAATTCGTTACGCTAAAACATTAACAGCAATTTAAAAGGTCGAACGGGGGCTGTATAAACAAAGGAGCCTGGCCAGCACAACAAGGCAAAAGGAGACACAAGGACTGAGCCCCCCCCGTGCCTTCGAGGGCCAGAGCGGCCAGAACTCGGCAAACGGCACCAGCATCGGCCCTTCGGCTGGAATTGGAGGAGAAAAACAAAGCTGGGCTCTTCCCTTGTCATCCGTTAGTCCATCCACCCATTCCTCCGTCCATCGTTCCATCCATCCATCCATCCATCCATCCATCCATCCATGAATCCATTCATCCATGAATCCATCCCTCCGTCCATGATTCCACCCATGAATCCATCCCTCCATGGTTCCATCCATCCACCCACGAATCCATCCCTCCATCCATGATTCCACCCATGAGTCCATCCATCCAGGAATCCATCCCTCCATGGTTCCATCCCTCCATGGTTCCATCCATCCATGAATCCATCCATCCATCCATGATTCCATCCATGGTTCCATCCCTCCATGGTTCCATCCCTCCATGGTTCCATCCATCCATGAATCCATCCCTCCATCCGTTATTCCATCCACCTATTTCTCCATCCGTGCATCCATCCATCGTTCCCTCCACTCATCCATCCCTCCATGAATCCATTCATCCATTAATCCATCCCTCCATCCATGATTCCACCCATGAATCCATCCCTCCATGGTTCCATCCCTCCATGGTTCCATCCATCCATGAATCCATCCCTCCATCCATGATTCCATCCATGGTTCCATCCCTCCATGGTTCCATCCATCCATGAATCCATCCCTCCATCCATTATTCCATCCACCTATTTCTCCATCCGTGCATCCATCCATCGTTCCCTCCATTCATCCATCCCTCCATGAATCCATTCATCCTATAATCCATTAATCCATCCCTCCATCCATGATTCCATCCACCTATTTCTCCATCCGTGCATCCATCCATCGTTCCCTCCATTCATCCATCCCTCCATGAATCCATTCATCCATTAATCCATCCCTCCATCCATGATTCCACCCATAAATCCATCCCTCCATGGTTCCATCCCTCCCTTCATGATTCCACCCATGATTCCATCCATCCATCCATGATTCCACCCATCCATCCTCCATCCATCCATGAATCCATCTACCTGTGTCTCCATCCATCCATCCATCCATCCATCCATCCATCCATCCATCCATCCATCCATCCATCCATCACCCATCCATCCATCCATCCATCCTTGATTCCATCCATCCATCCTCCCTCCCTCCCTCCATCCTGCCGTGCCATGGTGACACATATGTACTAGGTGCCACACAGGTGCCATGGTGACACACATGTACCAGGTGACACACAGGTGCCAGGTGACACACGTGTGCCAGGTGACACACGTGTGCCAGGTGACACATCCTTTTGTCCCAAAACAGCCCTGGCTGTGCCCAGGGGCGCGGCAAAGCCACCACCTGCCCTGCCCACAATGTCCCCTTTTTGCCCCATGACATCCCTGCTCGGTGTCAGTGGCGGGGATGGGCCCGGAAAGGCTCAGGTGGGGATAAAATTAAAATTTAAAATAGAATAAAATAAAATAAAATAAAATAAAATAAAATAAAATAAAATAAAATAAAATAAAATAAAATAAAATAAAATAAAATAAAATAAAATAAAATAAAATAAAATAATAAAATAAAATTTAAAAATAAAAATAAAATAAAAATTAAGGAAATAAAATAAAAAATAAAATATAAAATAAAGTATAAAATAAAAAATAAAATAAAAAACTAAATAAAATATAAAATTAAAAAATATAAAAATAAAATAAAATAAAACAAAGCAAAATAAAATAAAATAAAATAAAATAAAATAAAATAAAATAAAATAAATAAAATAAAGTATAAAATAAAAAATAAAATAAAAAAAATAAATAAAATATAAAATAAAAGTAAAATATAAAAAATTGTAAAAAATAAAATAAAATAAAACGAAGCAAAATAAAACCAAAATAAAATAAAATAAAATAAAATAAAATAAAATAAAATAAAATAAAATAAAATAAAATAAAATAAAATAAAATAAAATAAAATAAAATAAAATAAAATAAAATAAAATAAAATAAACCCTGGCAGTGGGCAGGATGTGACCCTGCATCCCTGGAGCCTGGCATGCTCCCTCCCTGTGCTGCTCCCGGGTCCCAGAGGAGGTGCCAGGCCAGCCCCTGGTTTGGGGACAGAGGGGACGTGTCCCCTGCCTCAGCCCGGGGTGGCTTTTGTGTTTCCAGGCAGTGTTTGCTCAGAGCCAGGCCCAGCTGCTCTGTTTGCTTCTCATCTCTCTCCTCTAATGATGTTTGCTCTGCACCCTCCACCCTCTCCCTGCTGGGTCTCCCCGTGCCTTCCCCACCTTGGTCCCATCCCAGGGGGAAGCTACAGGAAATGAGGGAAAAACCCCAGAAAAGCGGTTTTGAAGGAGAGGAAATATGTTATTTTTTCCTGTGTCTTCCTCTCCTTCAGAAGAAGCCTGGCCTTGGGCACTGCAAGTTGGGAAGGGAATTAACCTCCCCTTACCAGCTCTCTTTAATCCCCTGCCATCCCTTTTTGGTGGTAGAAGAGGAAAAAATAAAGAATAAAAAAGGGAAGCAGAAAACTGAGGGATGCCCTTCTCCAGCTCTGCCCTTGCTAACACGAGTTATGTGGAAACTGCAGAAAAAACCCAAAATATTTAGTCCTTACAGCATTAAAAAGGCAGGAAAAAGACATTTTTACCTGCCATTACCTCATTGCAGAGGGGGAAACTGAGGCCTCGGGAGCAGTGATGGCCACAGAGGGCTCTGCTCCATTCCAGGGGTTTGCCAAAATCCCTGATATCCACCCCAAATCCTCCCATGGAAGCAAAGCTTGGATCTGCAGCAGCGACACACGGGGGCCCTGAGCTCCTGGAGAATGGATTCCTCCTCCTCAAGCCTCTCCAAAAGCTCCATCTCACTCGCACCTTGCTGATTTTAATTATTTTTATTTAAACTAGCAGCTTTCCCTCTGCCACTCCACTCCTTGCTGCCCTGAGCAGGAGGGGGCTGAGCTGCCCCTCAGTAAATACGTGCAGCGGGAAACAATAAATAAATAAATCTTCCCTGGCTGAGGCAAGAAGTGAAATCACAGAATCACAGAACTGCTCCTTCCACACCCCCCTGCTCCTCTGAGACGGCTTTTCCCAGCTCTGATTTCTAAAATTCAAAGAGGGAGCAGCCCCAGCACTCGTGTGCTGCCCCAAAATTCACTCCAGCGGCTCAGGCTGGTGACAAAACCTCCTCAGTGACAAAAAGTTTGGTCTGTGAGAGGGGTGGGGGGCTGCAGAGGGGTTTCTCTGCCGATGGTCCCCTCTCCTCCCTCCCTGAATTCCCAGCCCTGCCCCCAGGTTATCATTAAAATTATTTGTTATTTCCAGTCTCTCTCTCCTGCCTCTGGCCTTGCTCTCCACAGAAAATCCTGGATTTTACCACACAGCCCTTTGCTGTATCCCACTGCAGGGGGTGATGCATCCCCACAGCCCAGCCAGGTGTTTTGGGGGGCAAAAAAAGTGGGATTTGGTCCTAAAATCGCTTCCTGCACCGTTTTAGAGCTGGGCAATGAACTGGTCCTTTGGCACAGGAGCATCTCCTGCAGCAGCCAGGCCTGGGGGGCTGCGGTGAGCATGGGGGGGGACGTGGGGGAGACATGGGGGAATGGGGTGAAACATGGGGGGAATGGGGTGAGGTGTGGGGGAATGGGGTGAGAATGGGGAAATGGGGGGAGAATGAGGAAATGGGGTGAAACATGGGGGAAATGGGGTGAGAATGGAGGGAATGGGGTGAGACATGGAGGGAATGGGGTGAGCATGGGGGGGACATGGAGGAGACATGGGGGAAATGGGGTGAAACATGGGGGAATGGGGTGAGGTGTGGGGGAATAGGGTGAGAATGGGGAAATGGGGTGAAACATGGGGGAGACATGGGGGGGAATGGGGTGAGCTTGAGCCTGGGGTAAATGGGGCGAGACGTGGGGGGAATGGGGTGAGAATGGGGGAAATGGGGTGAGACGTGGGGTGAGACATGAGGGGAATGGGGTGAACCTGAGCCTGGGGGAAATGGGGTGAGACATGGGGGGAATGGGGTGAGCCTGAGGAAATGGGGTGAAGCTGGGGAAATGGGGTGAGACACAGGGGCAATGGGGTGAGCCTGAGGAAATGGGGTGAGCCTGAGGAAATGGGGTGAGGCCAGGCTGGTCGGGGAGAGCCCAGGGTGGCAGGCAGGGCTGCCCTCACCTTCCAGGTGGCCGTGTTCCTCCGGAAGTAGGCGAACATCCGCGTGAACCAGTTGTAGATTTCATTCAACGTTAGCTGCCTGTCGGGGGTCTCCAGGATGGCCTGGGCAGCCGGAGAAGGGACAAGGCTGTCACTTGTAGGGTTTGACACCCATCCCAAGGGGCTGAGATGGGGTTCAGCAGGTGGGGGAGGAGGTTTGGGGTGCACAGCCGGACCCCAAAGCGGCTCTCACCTGCCGGATGAGCGAGGCGTACGTGAAGGGCGGCCGGACGTCGGCGTTTTTGTAAAACTCGTGATTCTGTGCAAGCTCTGCGGGGGGACAAGGAACGGGGAGCGGGGGGCTGGAGAGAAGGGACCCACTGAGCCCCCCGGGAGGGTGCAGACCCCCAGCCCGGAGCTGACCTGAAGAGATGGGGGTGCAGAACTTCTCCGAGCTCCTCCTGCGGATGGGCCCCACGTTGTGTAAGGTGGAAGAGCTGATGACGGAGGGGCCCTGCCGCAGGGGCGTGATGGGCGCCGTGGCCGAGGTGGGGGGGTGAGGTAAACCATCGGGAAACGTGTCCGAAGTGCTCTTGGAGAGGGTGGCACTGGAGACCAGGTTCAGCTGCACGGACAGGCAGGGAGGGACGGGGTTGGGAAGGCTGGGAGAGCCCTGGGAATACCGGGAATACCCGTGGCACTGGAGGAGGGGATGGCAGGGGGGCACTGGGTGGGCTTGGGAAGGGTGGGAGGCAGCCACAGGTGGGGATGGGACCGTGGGATGGGGATGGACCCATGGGGTGGGGATGGGCCCATGGGATGGGAATAACCCATGGAATGGGAATTAACCAATGGGATAGGGATCAATCTGTGGGATGGGAATTAACCCGTGGGAGGGGGGTGAATTTGTGGGATGGGGATGGACCCATGGGATGGGGATGGACCCATGGAATAAGGGATGGACCCATGGGATGGGGATGGACCCAAGGGATGGGGATGGACCCATGGGATTGGGGATGGACCCATGGAATAAGGGATGGACCCATGGGATGGGGATGGACCCATGGGATGGGGATGAATCCATGGAATAAGGGATGGACCCATGGAATAAGGGATGGACCCATGGGATGGGGACGGACCCATGGGATGGGGATGAACCCATGGAATAAGGGATGGACCCATGGAATAAGGGATGGACCCATGGAATAAGGGGTGGACCCATGGAATAAGGGATGGACCCATGGAATAAGGGATGGACCCATGGAATAAGGGATGGACCCATGGAATAAGGGATGGACCCATGGCATGGAGATGAATCCATGGCATGGGGATGGACCCATGGGATGGGGATGGACCCATGGGATGGAGATGAATCCATGGGATGGGGATGGACCCATGGGACAGGGATGAACCCATGGCATGGGGATGGACCCATGGAATGGGGATGGACCCATGGCATGGGGATGGACCCATGGGATGGGGATGGACCCATGGGATTGGGGATGGACCCATGGAATAATGGATGGACCCATGGGATGGGGATGGACCCATGGGATGGGGATGAATCCATGGGATGGAGATGAATCCATGGGATGGGGATGGACCCATGGGATGGGGATGGACCCATGGGATGGGGATGGACCCATGGGATGGGGATGGACCCATGGGATGGGGATGGACCCATGGGACAGGGATGAACCCATGGGATGGGGGTAAATTTGTGGGATGGGGATGAATTTGTGGGATGGGACAAACCAGTGGAATGGGAACGACTCCCTGGGATGGAAATTAACCCACGGGATGGGAATTAACCCGTAGGACGGGAATTAACCAATGGGATGGGGATGACCCCGCGGGATGAAGCCGTGGGATGGGAATTAACCTATGGAATGGGGATGAATCCATGGGATGAAGCCGTGGGATGGGGACGCACCCACCCCATGTCAGAGCTGAAGGAGCAGCTGCATTTGCCAGAGGGTGCCAGGGCACACCCATCCCACAGAGCCCACCCAGGTGACCACGCACAGGGCAGGGAGGGACAGCAGCCACCAGCGAGGGCACGTAGAGGGCAGGAAGGGACTCACGCTTACAGGCTGGCTGAAAGGCTTTGGCTCTGAAGGTCTCATGTGAAGATGGGCCATCATTGCTTGGAGACGCTCGCTCTCCTTGGCCAGCTGGGGGAGGCAGGAGGCAGGACAGGGATGATCACACAGCGCCAAAGTCATCACGGAGGTGCCCACGGCCTGGAGGAGCTGCCACCAGCCCCCAGACCTGATCTGGCACAGGCAGCAACCCCCAGGGTGTCCCTCCAAGTGCCACCTCCTGCCTGATGCTGGCTCCTGTGGCCTGCGGGGGCTGCTGCACCCACCATGGAGGGCACGGGGGCTGCTCCAGCTCCGTGTGTGCACTGGGGGAAAGATCCAGAGCCGCTCCCAGAGCCCCCAGGCTGCCACCCACAACAGCCCTGGGTGTTCTTGTCACCCAGCGCCTGCTGTCCCTGTCCTGTCCCCTCTGCCCTCCTGCTGTCCCTGTCCATGGGTCCATCCATCCCCCCAGCTCCCACACCGCTGTAATTGCTCCCCGCAGTGAGCACCGGGCTGAAATATTCACTGTGGCACCGGCAGAGATGTTGAGCCCGGCGGAGCCGATGGGATCTGACACCCCACTGCCATCCCGTCACCTCCCCTTGCCAGCGGGACCCCTCAAGCTCGGGGAGTCCCTGGCAGGGCTGGGCGAGGAAGGGGTTAAAAGCGGGAGGCAGAGCGGAGTTTGCAGCAAGTTTGGAGCAGCTCGGCTGCTTTTCTGCTGCGTGCTGCTCATTAGAGCTGACAGCTCTCCGCTCCTGATGCAGCGGGCACAGCGGGAGCTCCGCGCTCCAAACTTTCTAATTGGTGGCTCCGTGGCAGGTTCCTCTCTGCACACACACACACAGCTCCGCTCTCGCCCTTCAGATTGTTTTATTCTTTCTTTATTATTATTATTTTTTCCCTCCTCCCCTTTTCCTTTCCCTCCCCTCTTTAAGCCTCAGTAATCGCATTCAAGCTCTGGCTCTGCTGAGGGGATGGATGGAAGGGGTGGCCCGGGTTTGGCTGTGTCCCCCCCATCCCACAGCCCCTGTGAGGCCCCTAATTCTGGGTGGGTGGGGGTCCCAAGGGTGCTGCACTTCTCATCCTGCTGTGCCAGTGGTGTGACACGGAGCCACAGGCACACACCACCACGCTGAGCCCCTGCCAGCCCCACCGTGGGGTCACCCCATTTCCCCACCCCGTTTCCCAGCCCCACATTTCATCCTCCCTCCCTTCTCCATTAACCGAATTATGCAGAGCACACTGGGGGCTCAGGGAGGCAGGGAAAAGAACTATTTAAAGCACTGCCTTGCCAAAAATAGAGCCCCAAAGTTGGGCTCCAAAGACCACGCTCAGCCACCGAAATAAGCGGCCTGGTTTTCAAGCGGGCTCCCAGGGAGGTGGCACAGCCCATGCAGGGACAAACCCTCCTGCCTCCCACATCTCCAGCATCTCCTTGTACCCACAGGGACACTTTGGGATCAGAGGGGAGCTGGTTTGAGGGTTTGATGTCTTCCTGTTTGGGAAGGGGGTTTAAAACGAGTCCCCAGGTGGGTGGTTACAGTCCTCAACCCTGTCACCCTCTCCTGAGGGGAGCAGCCGAAGCTCAGGGTGACAAAGAGGTGGCTTTTTGTCCCTGTGCCCACGGGGACTGGGGTGGGACACCCACCTGTATCTCCAGCTGCTGTACCACTTGCATCTGGACTCGACACTGGGCCGTGCTTCGGTCATCAAGTGCATGTTCTGTGTTGAGGTGTCTGGGGAGGAGAACACGGAGCTTTGCTTAGGCCTGGGCATGCCCAACACCCATCCCCTCCGCTGGGGCCACACCTGGGATCAGCCCTGACCTGAAAATTGCTCAGGGATGCTCGGGCACCGCTGCCCAAAGCGGGGAAACTGAGGCACGGAGGTGACTGAGCGATCCAGGCTGTGGCACCACCCCAAACCCAGGCTGGAGGACACTCAGCCTGACCCGAGGCAGCCCCAGGGTGTTTAGGAGCCACCTCTGGCAGAGGGAAAGCCTCCTGGAGCAGGCTGCTGGCAGGAGGTGCCAGCAGGACCTGAGGAGCAGGTTCCCAGGACACGGGAGATTGCCTTCCACGCTCTGAGGAAAGCCCTGAGGGCAGAGGGTGGCATTTCCAGGCTGTTCCCCATGAGGGTGGCATTTCCAGGCTGTTCCCCATGAGGGTGGCATTTCCAGGCTGTTCCCCATGAGGGTGGCATTTCCAGGCTGTTCCCCATCCTGCCTCGTGTTTATGAGCTGCTTTCTTTAGGAAGCACCAGGACCTTTGGTCCTCGCTGCCCTCCCTCCTCCTCAGGGCTCCTGGTGACAGAGTTGTCACTTGCTGCAGAGCCATCCCCTCACCCCAAACCCAGCAAAGCACCAGCCTGGGGACACAGCCAGCCCTGAGGATGTCACAGGGCCCCGAGGATGTCACAGGGCCCCGAGGATGTCACAGGGCCGTGTCCTTGCTGGGGTGGGCACAAACCCGGGGGGCCCTCGCTGGAGGAGCGGGATGGTTTGGAGAGGGATTCTGGGCCAACAGCACCCCTGGAACAGCCCCAAAGGTGATGCTGGGGGGTCCCAGGGACCGTGTGCCAGATGTTCCCCAGGATTAAGGCTGAGACACCCCAGGAGAAGGCGCCTCAGCTCCCCAGGCTGGCTCTGGAGGGTGGCAGGAGTCTCACCCTGCTGCCTGTGAGCGCCTTCCAGCCCCGGCGTGCACAGACAAGCAGGGAACCAGGCCCTGCTGCCAAACCCATCCCTGAGCAAAGCCCCCAGAGCCCCAGCCCTGCTCCCCTCCCTGCACGGCACAGCCCGGGCACGGCTGCTGCTCCAGGGCAGGAAAGCTGTGGGAGCCAAGTGGGAAGGGAGCATTGCCCACTGACCCTCACCCAGCACGGCCCCAAGGCCACGCTGCCCCTCCCAGCCTGGCACAGAGGAGGGGATGCCCAGAGGAGGCTCCAAGCTCCAGCTCCAGCCTCTGGGAGCTGCAAGTTTTCTGTCTGTCCATCCCACAGCCCAACATGTGCCCACGTGGGCAAGGAGGGCACAGAAACCCTCGTGCCCAGGGGGTAGGAAGGTGGGACACAGGGAGCCTGGCTGGCACAGCACAGCCCCCTGACCCAGCTCAGAGCATTCCCTGCCAACTCCAGACCCACTTCCCGGCATGGAGCTTGCTCATCTGCCCTGTGCCACCCGAACATGCCCTGCCAGGCAGGAGGAGATGCCTTATCTGGCTCAGCCCATGACTCAGAGCAGAGGAAGGAGGGCACAGGAGGCTGAATCATCCTTCACTCATCCCCGGGCTGCCTTCACACCTCCTCATCCTCCTGGGCAAGGCCTCTAGGGCTTGGCACGGTCAATGGGATGTTCCCAGCAGCAGAGCACGGGGGATGAGTTTGGAAAACCCCAAAACCCGCCCGTTGTGCAGCGCGGCGCTCGCCCAGCAGACAGCCGGGGAGGCGGGGGGGAAGGAGCCCGTCAGCTCCTTCTGATGTCTTTGCTAAAAATCCCAGCTACAAAGAGATCTAATTGCAAATGAACTAATTAAGTAAACCTCTGACGAAGCGTGAAAACAATTTGTTTGACCCTGACGCTGGCAGAGGGCTCTCCGACAGCAGAGTTAATCAGTCAGCGCCGAGCCCACAGCGGTGTCAGCGGTGCCATCTGCCATCTGCCGCCTCCCCGGCACGGCTGCCACCCCCCTCGCCTGCTGCCTGCTGCCTGGCCTCTGCCCTCCTCCACATCCTTCACTCATCCCGTGGCTTGGCTTGGAAGTGCTCACAAAGCTCACCCCACGCCACCTTTGCCATGGGCAGGGGCACCTTCCACTCCAACCAGCCCGGCTGTGGACATTTCCAGGGATGGGACAACACCAGCAGCAACCCCTGATTTGTTTTCTCCTTCTCCACATGCTTTCCTACCTGATGTTACACACTTTGGGATGTCTGAACCAACTCCCAGGACCCTTCCCCTGCTGAGGAGGGTTTCTCTGAGAAGTTTTCTCCTTCTCCATGTGCTTTCCTAGCTCAGGGTTCACACTTTGAGATGTCTGAACCAACTCCCAGGACCTTCCCCTGCTGTTTTCTCCTTCTCCACGTGCTTTCCTAGCTGATGTTACACACTTTGGGATATCTGAACCAACTCCCAGGACCTTCCCCTGCTGTTTTCTCCTTCTCCATGTGCTTTCCTACCTGATGTTACAAATTTTGAGACGTCTGAACCAACTCCCAGGATCTTCCCCTGCTGTTTTCTCCTTCTCCATGTGCTTTCCTACCTGATGTTACACACTTTGAGATGTCTGAACCAACTCCCAGGACCTTCCCCTGCTGTTTTCTCCTTCTCCATGTGCTTTCCTACCTGATGTTACACACTTTGGGATGTCTGAACCAACTCCCAGGACCCTCCCCTGCTGAGGAGGGTTTCTCTGAGAAGTTTTCTCCTTCTCCATGTGCTTTCCTACCTGATGTTACACACTTTGAGACATCTGAACCAACTCCCAGGATCTTCCCTTCCACCAGCTCCACTCTGTCCCAGCCTGAGACAGAAAAACCTCCCCCAAAAAAGGTGATACTCACTTGACAAACTGCCCCAAGTCCTCACAGAGGGTTTCGCAGCCAGGCCACTTGCACTCTCCGTGGCCGTAGAGCGGGTGGGAGCCGGGGGTCTCTTCGTGGGAAGAGCTGCACAAGAGGGAAAGGAGCCTTCAGATGGGGCAGTGGGGATGCTCCAGCATTCCCAGCCACGGGAGACCCCACAGTGACAGCTCCCTGTCCTCTGTGGGTGCAGCAAAACAGTGCCAGGCTGCTTTTATGGGGTGGGCAGAAACCCCCCAGCCCTCCCAGCCCGGGGGGTGATGGATCCCAGCCCTGGGGGTGATGGATCCCAGCCCCTTCCACCTCTCCAGGAATAAAAACACAAAGTGCCAGGGCCCGACCCGGCTCTACCTGTCCCTTCTCGGCGTGTGCATGGTGCTCTGCCCATTGGGCAGAGGGTGATGGGAAATGGGAGGCGAGACCTTGGCGGCCGAAAACGAGGTAGAGTTGGAGGTGTTGGTGGTGAGGTCAAGACCTTCCTGCTTGATGCTGTCCTCGACGGGCTGGGCGGCCGTGACCTCCTTCCAGAGCTGCTGGAGGTCTGAGGGGCAAACAGCTGGGGCACAGGAGAGTGGCCAGTGTCAGCAGCAGGGTTTCCTCCCTGTTCCCTCACTCCCCACATCCCACCCAGCTCTGGGAGAGCATCACCTGGGGCTGGGCACAGCAAGGGGAGGCTGCAGGGCCCAAGGGGAAACCCAGACCAAGGCACCTGCAGCACCCAGAGAGCTGCTCCCAGAAGGGAGAAGAGCCCAGGTTCCCAAATCCTGGCACCCTTTTGCCAGAGGAAGAGAGGTGTCCCAAATCCTGGCACTCCTTTGCCAGAGGTGCCCCAAATCCTGGCACTTCTCTGTCAGAGGTGCCCCAAATCCTGACACTCCCCTGCCAGAGGTGCCCCAAATCCTGACACTCCCCTGCCAGAGGTGCCCCAAATCCTGACACTCCCCTGCCAGAGGTGCCCCAAATCCTGACACTCCCCTGCCAGAGGTGCCCCAAATCCTGACACTCCCCTGCCAGAGGTGCCCCAAATCCTGACATACCTCTGCCAGAGGTATTCCAAATCCTGACACTCCCCTGCCAGAGGAAGAGGTGCACCAAATCCTGGCACTCCTCTGCCAGAGGTGCCCCAAATCCTGACACTCCTCTGCCAGAGGTGCCCCAAATCCTGAAATTCCTCTGTCAGAGGTGCCCCAAATCCTGACACTCCTCTGCCAGAGGTGCCCCAAATCCTGACACTCCTGTGCCAGAGGTACCCCAAATCCTGGGTATTCTCTGTCAGAGGTATCCCAAATCCTGACTCTCCCCTGCCAGAGGAAGAGGTGCCCCAAACCTGCGCCCTCTGGAACCCGGCCCCCAACCCTGCCGGGCTCCAGCTGCTGACCCACCACCCCCAAACTTCGGGGGCACCACAACCCCAGCGGTGCAGCCCCTCCCCAGCCCCCCTGGCCCAGAGCAGGGGGGAGAACCCTCCTTACCTTGGGGCAGGCTCTGCAGGGGCACGCTGCCCTGCCCGGGCGGGAGGCTCACCAGGCCCTGGCGCTGCAGGTTTAACAGGTGCTGCTGCTGCAGCTGCTGCATCTGCAGGAGCTGCTGCTGGAAGGCCAGCTGCTTGTTCCCCAGCGGCTGCCGAGACAAAAGCAGGGACAAATCCAAGATTTATTCCCGGCCTGGCAGGGTGGGCTGGCGGTGGAGGTGGTGGTGAGGGGTGCTGGCAGCGAGGGGTGCTGGCAGCAGTGGGGACCCCACGTTTGGAGCTGCCTCCATCCTCTGCAGGGCCTGCTCAGCTCCCGGCTGAGCCGGACACGGAGGCTTTGATCTATCGGAAGAGGAGGGGAAGGAAAGGGAAGAGGGGAAGGGAAAAATAAAGCGCTGGGAAGAAAGGCAGAGAGAGGAGCTGGAGGCAGGGAGGAACCCGCAAAGCGCGGCTGGGGGTCCCACCGGGGAGGTTCAGCTGCATGAAAAAAGGGGGGTGCCAGCAGCTTTTATGGGGTGGGCAGAAACCCCCCAGCCCTCCCAGCCCTGGGGTGATGGATCCCAGCAGGCACAGAACCCTCATGTGAGGCAGGGATTTATCCCTGTTTGGCAGAAATGATTGCTGCGTTGGTGAGGGGCTCCAACTGGCACAGGGAAGGGGGGGACCAGTGCCAGCACTGGTGTCCCCACCCTGGCCACAGCCACCCCACAAGTAGGTGACTCTGCCTCACCCTGGAGCTGGCCAGGCTCTGAGCAGCATCGCTGGCCCTAAACTAGTTAGGCAGGCCGGGTCCCTGGGGAGGCGCCGGGAAATCCATGAGAATTAAGTGAAGGGGAGAGAATTCAATTAGGGCTGGGGACAGGCAGCTGCTAAGGGAGAGGGGAGCTGCCCCCAGGCTGCCCGGCCTCATTAGCGGGGCAGGCGGCTCCGTGACCCCATGAACCCCCCAAAACCCCCCTGTTGGGGCAGACGGTGCCAGCAGGGAGCCAGGCTGGGGCATGGCCCCCCTCACTGCACTCTGCAGCCCCCCCCAAAGGAGTATTTCTGTGTTTGTGCTCTGATCCAGGAGCACAAGGGCTCTGCAGTCCTTGCTTTGTGATCGTGGTGGGGATTCAGCCCCCCAGGCACTGGGAATTCCAGGGAACTGGTGATCCCTGAGGCTGCATCACAGGGAGCAGCACAGAATGCCATCCATGATGGAGTTTGGGGTCACACCCAGGGTCTCACTGGATGCTGGTGGATCCCTGTGGGTGTTGTTGATGCTCAGCCTTGGCTTCGTGACTCAGATGAGCTCCAAACCCCTCTCTCAGCACCACCACGAGTCCTGTCTAGGGTACAGATGGAGTTTAATTCCAGCTTTTCGGCCTCAGAAGGATGTGAGGACTCTTTCTGTCCGCTCCACCTCTTGGCCACAGCAGAACTGCCTCCCCAGAGTCAGACCTGGATCCTCCCTGGCTCTGTCTCAGCCCTGCACCTCTGAGGCTTAAAGATCAAGGCACAAATCAAAGCAATTCCTGCTCAGTGAAGAGAAATCCCTGACTCCTGAGCCAGGAGGGCTCCAGGCCATGGGATCAGCAGGATGGAGGGAAAAGGGCAGGACCAGGCTAAAAAGCTTCAACAGCAGCTTCTCTGTCCCCCAGGGTGTCCCCTCCAGGCGAGGGGTGTGGGATGGACACACTGTCCCTGCCTTGCTTAGAACAGCAGCTGGGATGGGAAGGGATGGGACAGGATGGGAAGGGATGGGACAGGATGGGATTCTCCTCCTCTTCCCGGCTCCACCACTGCCCTCCCTCCCTCCCTCCCTCCCCGAGGGCCCGGGGCAAGCCCCAGCTCTGCTCCAGCACAGCCTCATCCACGTCACTTCCAGCCTGAGCTGCTGGCAGTGGATGAGGTCAGGAGGATCCCTGGGCACGCTGCCTGCATCCCACAGCCCAGCCAAGCTCTCCTGGCCTGGCCTGGCTGGATTCAGACCCCCTGAGCCCCCCGGGCAGCCCTGACCCACTCGTGGCTCTGGTGGGGACGCTGTTGAAGCTGGTGATGTGAAGGTTGAACTTCCACGTGCCTCAAATCCACGTGCCTCCAGCTTCCACAGAGCAGGAACAGCAGGAGCAGCCCCAGGAACACAAATCCAAGCCAAACCTAAGCCTGACCCTATGGGGAAGCCAATCTGCCACTCCTGAGGGCACCTGTGGCACCACAGACCTCTAAACCCCTGAGTGATGGCTGAGGGGATGCAGAGCCATCCACCAGCCCACGGGCTCCAAGCCAAGCTTTCCCTGGAGAAACCAGCCTGGGGAGAGCCTGGATGACAGCCCAGCTTTCCCAAAAATCTCACACCCCACTGATCCTCCAGACCCCCATTCCTGTTGGAAAAGCCACTCCCAGAGGAGCTGGCTCTGTCTTGGGGCCGAATCCTGGGCTTCGCTCCCCCAGCTCATTCCCAGCCCATTCCCAGCTCATTCCCAGCCCATTCCCAGCCCATTCCCAGCCCATTCCCAGCTCGGGCTGGGGGTCTGCAGCATCACCAAGGTTTGGCTCCCCCAGCCCATTCCCAGCTCATTCCCAGCTCATTCCCAGCCCATTCCCAGCCCATTCCCAGCCCATTCCCAGCTCATTCCCAGTTTGGGGCTGGGGGTTTGCATCATCACCTAGGCTTGGCTCTCCCAGCCCATTCCCAGCCCATTCCCAGCTCATTCCCAGCTCATTCCCAGCCCATTCCCAGCTCATTCCCAGCCCATTCCCAGATCATTCCCAGCCCATTCCCAGCCCATTCCCGGCTCATTCCCAGCCCATTCCCAGCCCATTCTCAGCCCATTCCCAGCTCATTCCCAGCCCATTCCCAGCTCATCCCCAGCCCATTCCCAGCTCATTCCCAGCCCATTCCCAGCTCATCCCCAGCCCATTCCCAGCTCATTCCCAGCCCATTCCCAGCCCATTCCCAGCCCGGGCTGGGGGTCTGCAGCCTCTCGGTGCATTAGATGCAGCTGAGCGGGTGCAGCCAGCGGGGCAGGAGGCGCCGTCACTTTGATTTATGAGCACATCAGGAGGAGTTTGCGCCGTGACACGCGGGACTGACAGCGGCACTTCATTAAGCTGACACCGGGGTTAGGCACCAGCAGCACCCCCTCCCCACCCTGCAGAGGGACAGCCCCTGCCCTGGGCAGCTCTGGGGACACACTGAGACCTTCCCGGGGCGTTTTGGGGTCTCTGCACCCCGTTGCTGCTTGGAGGAGCAGGATGGGAGCCAGGAGCAGCAGCACAGCTCCTTGTCAGGATTTGGGGCACCTCTGACAGAGGAGTGTCAGGATTTGGGGCACCTCTGGCAGAGAATAGCCAGGATTTGGGGTACCTCTGGCAGAGAATAGCCAGGATTTGGGGCACCACTGGCAGGGGAGTGTCAGGATTTGGGGCACCTCTGGCAGAGGAGTGTCAGGATTTGGGGCACCTCTGGCAGAGGAGTGTCAGGATTTGGGGCACCTCTCTTCATCTGGCAGAAGGGTGCCAGGATTTGGGGCACCTCTGGCAGGGGAGTGTCAGGATTTGGGGCACCTCTGGCAGAGAATAGCCAGGATTTGGGGCACCTCTGACAGAGGAGTGTCAGGATTTGGGGCACCTCTCTTCCTCTGGCAGAAGGGTGCCAGGATTTGGGGCACCTCTGGCAGGGGAGTGTCAGGATTTGGGGCACCTCTGATAGAGGAGAGTCAGGATGCTGCTGGAGGCTGGGGGGTGGCCTTTGCACCCCAGCACAGCAAAATGCTGCAGGAAGGGCTGGGCTGTGCCACAGCTCAGCCCCATCCTGGTGGGATGTATGGATCCGTGGATCTTTGCTCTGCCCCTTCCTTGTGCCCCCAGTGTGGCACAGCACCCATGGGCACAGAGCAGCGCCACGTCCTTAGGGACAGGATGATGGTGACAGGTTCTTCCCACACGTTTCCATCCTCCTGTCTGTCCTGCCCTTCTCTGGGGCACTCCCCACCCCGGGGAGATCAGAGCTGCTCCTCCTGGAGATGCTGCCCCTGCTCCCAGCTCCTTCCTGGTGTCCTGCCCACCGGCAGATAAGGACTCAGCCCTTGGAACCAGGCAGAGGGGAAGCAGAAGGCGCTGGGTTTACAAATCCTGCAGTGGGGTGGAATTAAATCCGGCCCATGGGTTTCCAGGAAAGATCCAAGGGTGGCTCTGTGGAGGCATCCCAGACATTCCAGCTTTTCCCTGAGTTTCAGGGAAGCCACAGCAGCACCTCTCCCAGAGGCAAACATGAACACAGACTTTAGGAACACCAGCTGCCCAAATTTTTGGGGTGAAACCAAAGCTTATCCAAGGATTTTGAGGAAGGGGAACACTGCCATCCCCTTGCTGAGACACCCTCAGTGCCTTTCCCAGCAGGAAAGCTGGACACACACCCCTCCAGCAGCACCCAACACCCCTTCCCCCCCTGCTACACCCTTTCTTGTTGGATAAATTTCCCATCTCCTCTGTACCATTTAATTAAAAGTTAACACGAGCTTTTTAAAGCGGAGCCCGCTAAGCAAGCGCTTTGTTAGAGCTTAATTATATCCCTGCTCGGTGCTGCAGGAGAACATCGCCAGGGCCAGCAGGAAAGTCCTTGAGGAAGCTCACATTCACACCTCCCCCATCTCCCGGAGCAGCAGCAGCTCCTGGAGATGGTTCTGATAACCCTGACCCTGTGAAAGCACCAACACCCCACGGTGGGATCCTGCAGAGGTTGGGGCAGGTGACCCTGAGCCACTGCAGCCACCCTGCTGCCCTGATGGCAGCGTGGCTGTGCCAGCGAGACCCTCCTGTGCCACCCCAGCACACAGGCTGGGCGTCAAATCTCCCCTCCCTGGCACAAAGATGAGTTTCAAGTGCTGGGTGTCCATCAGGTGCTGGGTTTTGGGAGGAGCTGTGGCCACGAGCAGCTCCAGCAGCGGGGAGGGAGAGGCTCAGGAGCAGGTCCCTTGTCCCTGGGAGCCCATGGAAGGACACACAGGGGAGGGGCAGCCGTGAATTCTGCAAAACCACACAGCAAAAAACCCCAACTGGAGCATTTTGGCAAGAGAGAGGGGCAAAAATAGCCAAGGAAAAGGAAGGGAGCAGTTCTGTCTGCTGGCTGGGCTCTGTCCCCAGTCTCTGTGTGACCCCAAAACACAGCCACAACCCCTTGTGGGGCATCACTGTGCCCTCGGGGGCAAAACCTGCTGTGTGCTGGGGGTTCTGCAAGATTGCTGCAATCACAGGGGCACAAAATGAGTCTCCAGCAGGCGCTGACCTGCCCAGCACTGCCAGCGTGATCCTGGGAGGCCGAGAGCCCTGTAACCTCAGAGAATCCCGCTGGAAAAGCCCTTTGCTGGGATCCCTGCTGTTTCCCACATTCCCTGGGCTTTGGAGGGCAGGAAAAGCCCAGCTCTGGTGCCACCGAGCAGCCCTGCCCACCCCCAGGGCACTGCTGTGCCAGCTCAGCCAGGACTGGGCTGCCCAAGCTGAGCCTGGCTGGTCTGGGCTGGGCTGGGCTGGGCTGGGCTGGGCTGAGCCTTCCCTGATCCCACCACGGGGGAATTTGGGGAGCCCTCCCTCTGTGCTGGGGGGGTGGGACCTGTCCCTGTCACCAGGGAGGGTCCAGTGGCCCCTCCAGTGCTGCCCCACACCCCCCACATCTCGTAGAGGCACCAGATCACAGAGAGGGAGGAAGAGGAGGAGAAAAAGGAGGAAGGAACAACAACTCCCAGTGACTGCAGCAGTCACCCTGGCACCTCCAGAGCAGGATGCCCCATGTCCCATTGCCGTGGGCTCCCTGGGGGCTGTCCCACCCCTTGTTTGGTGCTGGTGCCCCTGCAATTTGCCAAGCTCACCTCTTTGGGTTGCTGCTTTCCGGCTTGCTGCTGGGTCAACAGCTGCAGGTGAAGCTGCTCCTGCTGCTTCTTGTAGTATTCCTGCAGCTGGGAAGGGGAGAGAGCAACGGGATCAGCAGTGGGACCACCCCGTGCCCACCTCACCGCCCCGTGCCCACCTCACCGCCCCGTGCCAGCTCCTGGCACTGTCACCAGGCCAGGCTCCCTGTGTCACCCAGGGCAGGGCAGGAGGAAATCACCCACCAGGGCAGTCAGGGCAGCAGAGGAACCCTGGGCACGCGCTGCCAGGGGCTCCGGATCCCTTGAACCCCCCCAAACACTCCCAAATGCCCACCCTGATGGTTATTTTAATGCCAAGCTGCTGTCCCTCGAGAGAAAAGCAGGCTGGGGTGGGGAAAAAGAGCACTTTGGGGTGGGGAAACCCCAGTTTTGGCATGGTAGGACCCCAAAACACCCCTGAGAAGTGCTGTGAGAAGCAGTGGGGTCCCAGCTGGGATGGACCTGGAGCAGCCACAGCCCCTGGCCCTGCAGTCAAAACAGCTCTTCAAATCAAAGCAGAGGTGTTTTCTGGGCCATTAAAACAGGGATAAACCCCCTGGATCCACAGGGAGCCACCAAAGAGGGTCCCAGTGCCCACAGGCACTGCCAGCATTGCCAGCACTCTGAATAAACCGTGGGTGATGGATTTGCTGTGTGCAGGGATGGGGGGTGAAGGCACAGGGAGGTCAGTGAGACCCCCCAACCCCCTGACAGGGGCTCAGGAATGTCTCTGGGGATGCCGGGGAGCCTTTATCAGCTCGGGGCTGCTGTTTGTGTCAGGAGAGCAGCTTTGGAGGGGCTGGGTGTTTACCCCCGAGCCAGCCCCAGCCAGGGCTGGGAGCAGGAACATTGGGTCAGGGGTGAGAGGTGTGATGTTTGGTTTGCTGCCGGTGGAGAATGTGAGCTATTCCGGCCTGGGTTGTTTAATTTGCAGTCAAACGTGTTTCTTTATCCGGCTCCAAAGAGGCTTGTGGAAGGACCCACCCAGGGTAGTGTTTACCCTTTGTTCTTTCCCTGGGGCCAACCTTGAATCCTTATCAGCCTGTTTGGAGTAAACAGGTACTGGAGGCAGGAGGAAGGGTGTGGAGGATGCTTGTGGGGTTTCTCCCTCTCTCCCTCCTGTTTACCAAGCAGAACTATTTTGTTTCAGAGTGGAAATCTGCTTTTTTTTTCCTTCTCCTCCTTTTTCTTCCCTCCCCATCTGACTAAAATCTGTGGAAAAGCCGAGCAGGGCCATGAGAAACAATCCCCAGCTCTGGAGGTGGGCACAGGGAGCTGCCCACAGCCCGGGAGTGGCCACGGGGGCTCTGCTTGGGGTTTTTCCCAGGAGCTGGGCAGCCCCAAATCAGCCCCTGAGCAGGAGTTTTGCAGGTTTTGATACCCTGGTTCAGGGTGGCATCACCAGCACTGTCAGCACCTGCAGCACTTTTTATCCCAAAAGAAATATGTGGAAAGCAGAGGGAGGAAAGGACCCATTTTTGTGCCTCCAACAAACTCCAGCTTTCCCAGACCCTGGTGGGAATTGGATTCAGCCCCAGTGCAGCGTTACCTGTTGCAGCATTATTGCCTGCTGCTGCTGCAGGAGGGCCTGGAGCTGGGGTGGGGACAGGATCTGCTGCATCTGCTGCGGCGTGATCATCTGCGGGGACATCATGGCCACGGACACGGGCACCTGGGACAGCAAGGACACGTCACCACTCCCGACCCCGACCTGTGAAACTCGCCCCAAACGCCAGCAGTGCCTCCCCCAGAGCACCCTCCATGTCCCCCACGTCTCTGTCACCTCTGGGTGAAGCCGCTGTCCGTGCCCTGGGACGTGGCAGTGGCACGGGGATGCCCCACGGTGCTGCTGGCACCAGGATGGAGCTCCCTGAACCACGAGCTCCCCCAGCAAGCTGAGAGCTGTTCTTGAAATGCAATTTAGCTGGGGGAACTGGGCATCAAACCACAGCTCCCTCCCCTGCTGGGAGCATGGGAAGGATGGAGGGAAAGGCCAGGGAAGTGGGAAGATACCGATCACCCAAATAACTCTGCAGAGCACTGAGGAAGAGGTTACGGGGTTCTCCAGACACATCAAAGCTTCACCTCCAGCTGACACCAGTAACTCCTGTAATTACTGTGCCAAGAGGAGGGAGGGCCGAGGGAACCTGCCAGCCCCTGCCTTTGGTTATCAAAACACAGGTCCACACCCCGGGCAAAGCTCCTGGGAAGGTGTCAGCGATGGATCCCAGCCCTGCTGGGTCCTGCCCAGGCGGAGCAATGCCCATCAGGAGCTGCCTCGTCCCAGCCTTCCACCCATCCCACCAGCCCAAAGCCCTTCCCGAGGCTCTGGGCTGGGATGGGGCCTGGCTGTAATTTAATGACTCTCCTGGATGCTTCATATTGCTGGGAAAGCAAATAAGAATTGCTGGTCAGGAGCCACCAGCAGCCACGAGCTCTTCCAGGGGATCCCAGGAAGAGGCAGCAGCTCCTTGGCACGTGGGATGGGGCAGAGCCAGGATCCAGCTGCACGCCAAGGACCCGGTTCTGATCCAAACTAAACAACCCCTCAGCCCCGGATCTCAAAGAGCAGAGAAACCCAGCAAAGCCCCCCTGAGAGCCTGGTTCCTGCCAGCCCCCCATGCCCAGACTGCCCAGCCTGGACCCCTCCCAGCCACTCCAGCGGGGATGGCAGCGCAGGGTGGCCCCGTGCAGTCCCTCCCATCGGTGGTGGGTGTCCAGCTGACCTTCAGGAGAGATTGCAAAGCCTTATCTATTTACTCAGGCTGCAGGGAGGTGCGGGACACGGGGCGAGCTCTGTTTGTCACCAGCGTTTCCCCCTCCAGCCACCTCGGTGGCGGAGCTATTGATTAACTCCTCTGCCTTCCCACCCACGGGCTGGAGCCCAGGGATGAGCCCCAGCACCCACCAGACAGCCCCGAGCCCACCCCCGTGGCACCAGCACCCAGTGAAGAGCTGCTGTTTGGGCACCCAGGTGCTGCCAGCCAGCTGTGCCAAGCCCTGGGCGCACATCTGGGCAGGAGGGAAGCTGGCGAGCAGAGCGAGGTGAGCGCCGCTAATTTCCCTCTGCCAATTCATCAGCCAGCAACGTGCTCGGAATGAGAGCCCCTAATTAATTGCTCCTCCACGTCCCCCCCAGCCCGGGCGGGCTCCCCGCCCCCTCCCGCGGCCCCTCGAACACGTTTGCTGGCATTTTCAAATCGGAGGCATCCTAATTACCGGAGAGTTATAACACCTTCCATTTCTCGCCCAGCGGACTGACACCCTGTCAAGAGCAAAGAGAATTGCCAGAGGTTTTGACAACACTAATTGCCCCTATAATCTAAAAACACAAAGGAGAGGCGATTAGTCGAGAGGGCCCCAGCTCTCGATCCGACACGAGGTTTTCACAATGTTACAAGAAAACAAAAGTGACGCTTTTTAGAGTTTGATGGCTGCTAACAAAAGCAGAATTATATTTTCATACAACCTTTGTCTGCATTAAATGGCTTTTTTTTTTTTTTTTTTTTTTCCTTACCCCACTCCCCCCCGCGCTCGGATGCGGAGCTGACACGGAGAAATGGTGGCGGATCCGTGTGGGGGTGAGGTGGGAACGGGGAGAACTCGAGAGGGGCATCTGAGCTCTGCTGCTCCCTTGGCTCCCGTGAAGAATCCCCCCGCAGCGTGGAAAACGTTCCTCTCCCAGTTAAGGTTTCCAGGGAAAGCAGCAACTTTTAGTAAAAGAGGAAATTCCCACTTACAGGCGGTTTTACTCCCGTTCATCCCACGCCTGATGAACGGGAATGGATGAACATCCCTGGGAATGTTCCAGCACTGCTCTGACCCCAGTGTGGGCCAGCAAACCCCAGTGTGGGCCAGCAAACCCCAGTGTGGGCCAGCAAACCCCAGTGACAAACTCTGGTGACAGTGCCAGCTGCCTCTGTTGGGGACAGGGAGAGCTGCTGCTCCACCAGAACCAGACGGGGATGGAAATGGGGCTGGAAATGTCCGTCCTAACGTGGCCAAAAGCCCCACAGGGTCACACCCCGTGGTGGCCCTAAGACACCCGCTCACCCACAGCCACGGCCCTCAGGGACAAGATTCCCTATGGCAGGGTATGACACCAGCCTGGCACCCCTGGGTGACAGCAGGAACAGGGCAGAACCGCCTCAGGATCTGGGATGCAGCTGAAGGGAGTCAGGCAGAGCAGCACGGGGGCTCTGAGGGGTGAGTGTCACCCTGCTGTGACACCAGAGCAGCACAGGGGCTCTGAGGGGTGAGTGTCACCCTGCAGTGACACCAGAGCAGCACAGGGGCTCTGAGGGGTGAGTGTCACCCTGCAGTGACACCAGAGCAGCAGAGGAGTTATGAGGGGTGATTGTCACCCTGCAGTGACACCAGAGCAGCACAGCAGTCATTATGAGGGGTGAGTGTCACCCAGCTGTGACTGAGGGGTGATTGTCACCCAGCTGTGCCACCAGAGCAGCACAGGGGCTGTGAGGGGTGACTGTCACCCTGCTGTGCCACCAGAGCAGCACAGGGGCTCTGAGGGGTGACTGTCACCCTGCTGTGACACCAGAGCAGCACGGGGGCTCTGAGGGGTGACTGTCACCCAGCTGTGCCACCAGAGCAGCGCAGGGGCTCTGAGGGGTGACTGTCACCCAGCTGTGCCACCAGAGCAGCACAGGGGCTCTGAGGGGTGACTGTCACCCTGCTGTGTCTGAGGGGTGAGTGTCACCCAGCTGTGACACCAGAGCAGCACAGGAGTCATTATGAGGAGTGAGTGTCACCCTGCTGTGTCTGAGGGGTGACTGTCACCCTGCTGCCTCCACCCAGGCACTGGAGCAGCCGGGAAATGTCCTTGCAGCCGCACATCCCTCGGGGAGCAGGTCCCGGCAGCAGCAGCAGCAGTGGCTGGGGACCAGCCCGACGCGTCACCAGCTGGCATCTGCCAGACACCGAGGCAGGAAGGGTTTGACTCAGGCCTTGGCCGGCTGCCACCCCGCAGAAAGTGCTTACTAACAGCTCTGGCTGCTCCCAGAACAGCCCGGCCAGCAGCATCTCCAGGGGCTGCTCCTGCAGCCTGCAATCCCCGTGCCAGGGGTGGAACAGCAGGCAGGTATTCCAGGGAATATTCCCTCCCTGAGCCAAAGGCAGCTGAGGGAAGCAGGACTTGGCCGCGTGGAATGAGGCAGGATGGAGAGAGAGAAGCTCTTGAGAAATTTTTCCTAGGTTTTTTTTTTTGGGTTGTTTTTACGGGAAGCGGATTGAACTCCCAGGCACGAGGCAGAGCGGGGAAAGCCACGGCCCGGCAGCCTTGGGTTGTCATCAGAGGGTCAGTGTCCTCCTGACCCTGGGGACAGCTGGCTTGGCACGGGCTGGGGACATCCTCCATCAGCCTCCAAACATCCCTGCTCTGCCACCAGCGGGCTGGGAGGTCACCGCAGGAGTCAGCGTGTCCCCAAGGGCCACACGTCACCGACACTACGGGAAGGGGCAGCTCCTGCTCCACGCCTCAACCACACAGCCCAGACCTCGTCCCCCCATCCCTGCTGGCTCTGGGGATGAGCACCCCCCTCTCTCTGTGCTCCTGGTTTCCTGCAGAGCTCAGGGCAGCACATCCCTGCTCTGAGCCAGCCTCGGGGTTTAACCCCCAGTTAGAAACAGCAGAAAACACGTTTGTGCTGTTTTTCTGAATTTGAACCACTCACTCTTTTCAAATCCAAACCCAACAGAAACAAATTGAGGAGAGTGGGAACGGAAGGGGGGGAAACAACCACCAAAAGCAGCTTCAAGTTGTGCTGTTTTAAGGGCAGGGGGTGAGCAAATCCCACCCCAGAGCACAAATTCTCACAGGAGAAGAGCAACCCCAACCCCCCTGGCACATCCTGGCCTCCCTCCCTGCACTCAGCATCCCTGGGTAAGCTCCAAGATCCAGCTGGCTCAGTCTGGGAGTGCTCCCAGTGCCAGGCAGGGATGCCACTGACACCGAGGTGACCCCAGCCATGGCTTATAAACCCCAAGGGGTGGCACAGGGCCACCCAAACGCTGCTGTGCCACCCCTAGACCTCACTAGGCTGGGGTGAGACAATGCACTAAAATCTGCCCAGGGTCAGAGGAGGAATGAAGCTCAGCCCCACGTGCCAGTTTTGAGTTTTTGAGGGTTTTGAGGCTGTGGGTGGTTTTAGGAACAATTTTAGGAGCACTGAACAGCCCCAGCACCAAAGGCTTGAGTGCAGCAGGGTGAGCAGGTGAGGGGACACCAGCGTGGAGGACACCAGGCCCTGATGTTCAGCTTCCTGTGAAGAAAAGGAGGGATCAATTCCCGGCATGTTCAGCCCAATGTGTATCCTCGTTAGAGCATCCTCATTAGCACATCCTCGTTAGCACAGCCTTCCCGCTGGGGAGGCCCCAGTCACACCTGGCTGGCTCCAGTCACTGCTTGGGGACAGCGGCAGCAGAGGTGACAGCACTGAGCCCCTCCTCAGCCCCCCAGCACTACCAGGGCAGGGTCCCTGTGTCCCCTCCGTGGGCACAGGCTGCTGGCACAGCTTCCACACCAATGATTCCACAGGGATTGACGTGACTTTGGTCCCCTGTGAACCCAAAACACCAATCCCAGCGTGGGATGGTGGAGGTGGCAGCGGGCTGGCAGAGCTGGGGGCTTTGGGATGGAGCAGGGATGCTCCAAGTTCACATGGAAAAGCCTCGGTGCGAGCCAGACGGACGGGCTGGAGTGCTTTTCCCGGAGAGGGAACGCAGAAGGGCTGGTATTGATCTGTCTTCATTACCCATTTCACTCAAGTTTCAAATCAACAAAATACACTTTTCCGCTCTGCTGCCCTCCCCGCTGCAGCAGACAAAAGAAAAGCAATTTCCCGCAGTTTGCTCCAAACTCCCTTCCCCGAGTGCCCTCCAGCCCCTCTCTCCTCCCAGCAGAGGCAGCTCTGAGGGCACCCAAAGAGGGCACCCAAAGAGGGCACCCAAAGGGGGCACCCCATCATTCCCAGGTGCCTCCAAACCAGCACTGACAACTCGGGGTGCTGCTTTTCCAGCACCTCCTTCCATTGGCTTTGCTGGATCCCAGAAGGATCTCAGGGGGATCTGCTGCTCCCACCATCCCAAGACAATTTGGTGTTGCCCTGCAACACCAAAATCCCCCAAAAGCAACTCAGTGCCCACCAAGTTTCCGAGAGTTTTGAAGTTGTAGAGATAAACCTATTTTTAAGTGGTTTAGAACACCCAAAGATGGGGTTTTGGGTTTTTTTTTTTCCTTTCCTGCAGCTGTAACTGAAGCAACATGAGACTGTCCACACACACCTCCAGGCATCTGTGGGAAGAGGGTCCTTATTCCCAAAAACAAACCCCAATCCAAGATGCTGCTGAGCCCAGCAGCTCCCTGGTTGTTTTTAAGCTCAGGCCATCGGGAATGTCATTAATCCTGCTGGCCTGGTGCCCCAAAAACGTCCCATGCCCATCAGTGGGGTGACAAGGAGAGTGCAGAGTGTGGGCAAGCACGGGGGTCTCCTGCTCTCCCTGCCAGCAGTGGGACCCTCCTGCTCATTCCCCCAGCACGGGGGCCAGGAGCTGGCTGGCACAGAGCTGAGGGGCGACAAAATTCCCCAGGGATGTTGAAATCCATTCCCAAATTGTGGGGCTGCACATCCACAGGCAGGGAGTCAGGCTGGCACCCCAACTCCCAAAGATTCCCATCCTGCCGGGCTTCCTGCTGCCTCCAAGCCAAGGAGGGCTGTGCTGGGACCCAGCCTTCCTCCTCCTCCTCCTCTCGCAGCCGTCCTGGCCAGTCTCATCCACACCAGTGTGCCTTAGATAAACTTCCTTTGAAAGGAGTCTGCTTAATCCCCTATCTCCCCCCGGTCAGATCCCGCTCCAGCTGCCGGCGGGGCCGCGGGGGGAGGCTCTGCTGAGTTATGAGTTATGAGCTATTTCTGACTCACGTCTACAACTTTCACAAGTCCTTTCTGCAACGCAGAAAGAGAAAAAAGGGAGGAGGGGAGGAAGGAGATCCAGTTGGCTCCGGCCAGATGGGCAGGCAGGGAGGGGAGGCTGGGGAGCAGCAGGGGATGCTCGGCTGCATCCAGCCGGGAATGCCAGGGACAGCAAGGAGGGATCAGCAGCAGCAGGAGGAGTGCAGGGACACACACCCACGGAGGGGAGCGAGGCGCCGGTTACCGGAATCTGACTTCACCCTCACCGCCTTTGTCTCTGCAGACATTTTCCATGCAGTGACTGCATTTCCTTCCTGCCGGCACCGCTGGAAAAAGCCGCCTGTTTGTGCCGTAGGAGCCCTGACTAATTCCCACTGCTCCCAGCCAGCTGCTGTGTCCCAGCCCGGGGGGCTCTGGGCTCTCCTGACCCCTGGGATGTGCTGCTGGATGGCTCAGCCATGCCCTGGCACTCCAAGCCAGGAGAGGATCCAGCATTGCCCATCCCAGCCCAGCTCCTGCTGCCACCTGGCTCAGCCTGGCACAGGCAGGACCTCCAGCTCCGAGAGCGCTTGTGCTAATTACTTTCCTTTGTTAATTAAACCCACGTGGCTCTAATAAGGTAACCTGCTGTTCTCCGATAAATTTAATTAGCCTGAAGGGAGAGCCCCTCCACACAGCTATTTAAATTGTCACTTCCCATCGCTTGGGCTTTGCTTCTCCCTGCCTCCCCCTCTCTCCAGATTTCACCCCTCTCCATTTTCTGCCCTTTTGCTCTGGCAGAGAAGGGGAGCAAAGGGGAGGTCCCCCATCCCTACAGGAGCAGGACGTGCCCACCCAAAGCCCATTTTCCTGCCAGAGTCACAAATCCCCATCCCAGCTGGGCCTGTGTCCATCCTAGAGGACCTGCCCTGGCTCCAGCCCAGAGGACTGTTCCCTTTTCCAGCCTCACAGCGCCCAGCATCAATCCTGGGATGCTCCAACCTGGGAAACTCTGTCTCCAAAACACCATCCCAAAAAGTGGCGACACACAGTGACCTCCCCACACACAAAACACCTCCCAAGAAACTTCTGGAGGTTTCCAGAGGATTTAACTCCTGGAGTGCTCCAGCCACGGAGGTGACAGGGCTTTGTCCCACAGCCCTTCCCAGGAGAGGGGGTGACAGGGGACACCTGCACGTCCTGGGGGCTCACCTGCACCGCCGGCTGCTTGCCCTCGTTGCTGCTGGGGGAGCTGAGCCCCGTGGCCTGCTGCAGCAGGAACTGCCGAGCCACCTGCAGCGCCTGCAAGAGAAACACAGGGTGGGCATGAGGAAGGCTCCCTCCTCTTCTTCCTCCTCCTCCTCCACGGATTTCCCTCGTGGGATGGGTTTGCAGCGCTCCCCAATGCTCCCTCCTGCCACACCAGTACATCCCATTAGAGACCACCACTCTCCCAGCCCCCACGGGGACAATCCTGTCCTCTTCCAAAAATCCCCACCAGCTCCAGCATTCCCATCTCACAAGGGTCATTCCCAAACCCCAGCCCTGGCACAGCCACTCTGGTTGAGTTATTCCAGAGCCACCACCACCCCCTTCCTTGTGCCCTTGTGCAGCTGTCCCTTGTGCCCAAAGCCACTGTGGGTATTTAATTTTGTTAACGGGATTGTGGCACTAGAGAAGCAGAAAATTCCCGTCAGCAGCCAGGTTTGGGTGAAGCCAAGTGCAGGATTCCAGCCTGAATCAATCCAGGAACGTCTCTGAGTGGATTTGGTGCTGATCCAGGAGGTGCTCAGCAACCCACACAAGTGACCACCATGAAACCTGATTGTTTTTAAGGGGGTTTGCCTAGAAAAAGTGAGGAGTTTCTCCAAGTTTTTTACAGGGATGAAGGTGTTTCACTGGGAATCCCACAAAAATAGGGAGAAAACAATAGAAATGGATACAATGCACTCGTGAAAAACACAGGTACAAGAGAGCCATGCCCAGCACTGTGGGCAGCTGAGGAAAATGGGAAATTAAGGAAAATCCTGTGAAGAGACAAGGAGAGAGGAGTGAGCATGAGCTGAGAAAAAGAGCCTGGGGGCCAGGAAAAGGAGTAAAGCTCAGAGGAAAACAACCCAGTCCTCCCAGACCTGTTTTATCCTTTTTTCTGCTTTACAAGGATTCTTCTCCTTCCTTCTGGTGTTTTTTTGGGCACATTTCTGAAAAATCTTCACCCTCCTTCCCCCTGCCTCTCCAAATCCACTCACAGCTCAGCACACGCCTCACCTGTCGATCCAAACCAAGGAGCACCCACAAAACCCTAACCCAGAGCCCCTCCTCAAATGGAACATCCATGAAAAGTCATTCCCTGCATTTTAAATCCCATTTCACGTCCTCCCTGTGCTCATCTGCGCAGGGAACTCTTGGGAAGAGCACATGAAAAGCAAATTGTAGCTGTGCTACATTATTTTTTGGGTGAAAAACCCACCTGAGCCGCTCTGTGCAGCTGGACAGGCACTACAAGGGCATGTGGAAAACGAGAAGGAATTTCCAGCTGGAAGCTGAGAGCAAAGGGTTTAACACACCCAGCCTTACTTTATAAAAAAATTGTAAGTTCATAGCAGGAGGCCCAAACCAAACACCCCAGACACAGCATTGGGCACCCTTAGCTGTGTTTGTCACTGTCAGATGAAGCAGAGAGCCCTAAGAAAATCAAAACCTGAGGAATTTTATAAGTAAATGGACCCTAATTTCCTATTCCTGTGGTGAATTACCAGAGCTGTACACCCAGAGCTGCCCCACGGCCACTGAGCACCCCCAGCCAATAACTCCCAAACTTCCTTTATCCAAACAACTCAAAACTCAGATCCTCAAGGATAAATACAGCAATTCACCACTGGGAATCACTGATGGGAAAAATCCCATGGTCCTGATCCTGCCTCAGCCCCAGTGTTTCTCCAGGGGCATTTTATTTTCCCTGTTATTACCAGGGATAGATGTGCATCGGTAATGCGAGCACAAAAACCCTGTGACAGTTATGACAGCTCAGGGTCTGATATTTTAATTACTTTTGGACATGAAAACAGTAATTCCAGTTAAAAGCCAAGGTGGAGGAATCCACTTGGCGGCAGCTCGGTGCCAGGCCCGAGGCTCCCACCAGGATGGGTGCTGGAGCACTGGGCTGCATCCCACATCCCCACAGAAAATCCCTCAGCTTTAGCTGCTTTTCCAGGTGCTTTTTAGCACAGCTTTCCATGGATTTGGCTTCTCCATGTGCAATTCCTGCCGTGTTTGCAAGCACCACCTCGCAGAGGAGACCCAGCGAGGAGGGCAGGGCAAAAATCAGCGCAGCAGGGCTGGAAAACACAGCCAGGGGGGGAAAAGCCTGAGGAACGGAATTCCAGCACACAAAAAGTGCTGCACAAGAGTTCTCCAGCACACAAAAAGTGCTGTACAAGAGTTCTCCAGCACACAAAAAGTGCTGCACAAGAGTTCTGCTGGAATTTCTCTCCCCAAACCCAAGGCCTGGCTTGAGCCACCAGCGCCCGCCCGGCCTGGCCCCGCCGCCTCTCAGGGGGGAATTTAATTCACTCCCCGCTGGCTTCTCTCACTTTGGTGTGCTCTGAAGCACGAAATTACAAAGATTTACAGGGAAAAAAAAAAACAAAACCCGACGTGGCCTCACAATTGCACACAGGGCCTCTCCCTCCCTGCCGCTGTCCCCTCTCCATCCTGAGCTGGGCTCAGGGGTGGAAACTTGCTCCAGGGCTGGATAGAGCACAGGGAGCACCCAGGATGGAATTTTGGGATACAGAGCCACCTCTCAGATGTGTTTGTTGCCCCAATAATGCAGGAGGAGCAGCCCAGTGGTTGGGGAGGGATGAAGCTTTTCCATAGGGAAGTGTCAGAGCCTCTCCATGGGGCTGAGGAGGTGGGAAGCAGAAGGAAAAGTTTCCCTGTGGGAATAGATGGGATTTTACCTCTGTGAATCAGAGGGAAAATTACTTAAAAATAAAAATCAACCCATAACCCACTGCCTGGTGTTGTCCAGGAGTGATCAGCACATCAACCAGAACTGGGAATGAATTCCTTGTGTCAAATTCTGCCTGATCACCAAATGATCCCAGAAAAAAGTTTACAAATGGTCCCAGAAAAAAGTTTGCAAAGGATCCCAGGAAAAAAAATTGCAAAGGATCCCAGGAAAAATTTGCAAAGGATCCCAGGAAAAGTATGCAAAGGATCCCAGGAAAAGTTTGCAAAGGATCCCAGGAAAAAAATTGCAAAGGATCCCAGGAAAAAAATTGCAAAGGATCCCAGGAAAAAATTGCAAAGGATCCCAGGAAAAGTTTGCAAAGGATCCCAGGAAAAAAATTGCAAAGGATCTCAGGAAAAGTTTGCAAAGGATCCCAGGAAAAGTTTGCAAAGGATCCCAGGAAAAGAATTGCAAAGGATCCCAAGAAAAGTTTGCAAAGGATCCCAGGAAAAGTTTGCAAAGGATCCCAGGAAAAAAAATTGCAAAGGATCCCAGGAAAAGTTTGCAAAAGATCCCAGGAAAAAAATTGCAAAGGATCCCAGGAAAAAAATTGCAAAGGATCCCAGGAAAAGTTTGAAAAGGATCCCAGGAAAAAAATTGCTCCAAGCCTGGAAGAGCCCAGGGAGAGCTGCCTCACACCACACCTTGGATTAATGTGGGATTAATCCTCATTCCTGCTTTTTTCCCCTCAAAACCCACCCCAGCAGAGCCTCTCCAAGGCCTCCTGATTGGGAAGAAATGGGTCAAAAGCTCAAAAAAAAAAAGGCAAAGGCAAATCTTGCTTGGGGTATTTGAAACTGCCTCATTTACCAGATATTTCACTTTTTAATTCCAGCATGGATGCTCCAGCTGGGAAGAGCTGCCCAAAATCAGCTGAGGGATTTTCCACCTGGATCAGAGCTTTATATGTTGCTTTACCTTCCAAAAAGAGAAAAAACACCTGAATAATTCCATTAAAGCAAGAACTTTGCATGGAAAGAGGGAGGAAGGGAATTTTTACTTTCCTTTTCCCTCCGATCCTTTTAGAGGGTGGAAAGATGTTGGGAAGGGCTGAAAAAAAAAAAAAGAAAAAGGTGAAAAAAAATTTTTAAAAAAGGAAGATTTTTTACACTAACCTCATAAAAATGACATCGCCACATTCCAGAATTAGAGCCATTAAAACAACACACAGGGATATTTTTAGCTGGATATTAACAGTAAATGATGCCATATTGAGGAGCACTTCCACCAGCCCAGCCCTGGCCTCGCTTAACCAGAACCAAATGGCTCCAAGAGATCCAAATGAGAAAAAAAAATGACACAATTCCTCACAGGAAAAAAAAAAAAAAAAAAGCCCTTTTTACACCCAGCTCTGTGTCTGTGGCCCAGCCCCAACTGTTCTGCTCTGCTCCAGAGCTCCTGGATTTTATTCCTCTGCTCCTGACTCCTCAATCCTCACAGGCAAGGGGTTAAAACCCAGCCCCACTAATTAACAGCACAAGGAACATGCTCCTGACAATCCCACCCTACGGAAAAAAATGGGGAAATATAAGGGAGAAGGGGATGAGAGGGGCAAAAAGGGGGGGAGAGGGAAAAAAGAGGGAAAAAAAGGAAAAAAAGAGTGGGGAGGGGAGCAAAAGGGGAAAAAAAGGGAGGAAAAGAAAGGGGGAAGAAAGGCAAAACTGCTCCTGCATTTATCCTCAGTGAAATATTAAATATGAATCAGGGAAGTGAAGAGAGAGATGAGTTTCACTTAAGTGCTCCGGCCTCGTTTTTATCTTAAATACCCTAATAATAGAGGATTACACAATATATCTGAGATGTGATCACATGTTTTATGGAATGGTATCTCTCTCAGGGCAGCAAAATGCCTCTCCTCCCCCTCCACACCCTTCCCCAACTCCCAAAAAAGTCCCGTTCGCTCCTTCTCCAAAACAAGTCTTATTTTTGTTTATTCCTCCCCGTTTCTTTGACATCTATCTGCAGCACGCTGCCATTTTAGTTTTGGGGTTTTTTTGTACCATAAAACAACCCCAAACGACGCCAGAGCAGCCGGATTTTTCCAGGTGGCTCTTTTTCCATGGATTTGGAGGTGGAAGGAGCTCCCGTGGGCTGCCAGGCTCGGGGATTTTCCCCTTGCTTCTCCCAGGACATCCCTGCTCCACGAGGTTTGCACGGATTTGGGTTCTCCACGTGCAACTCCTGCAAGGATCCTTTTCCATCCTTTTCCTCCATTCCCTGCACCCCAAACCTGCAGCAACCCCATCTCTGCACCCTGTGGGTTTCAACACCAGCCGCTGGCTCAAAGTTGGGATTTTTTTTGGCAGCAAATCTGCAAATAAAACCCTGGAAAATCCCAAATTGTGGCTGGGCAGCGCTTTATTCCCACTCCTAAAAATCCAGAGGATCCCCCAGCACTGGGATGTGCCACCCCCGTGTCCCCTTTTCCTTCCTCACGGGGAATTCCGGAGGGGATCCAGCCTGGTGGATCTGGGAATTCTGGGGGGATCCAGCCTGGCGGATCTGGGAATTCCAGAGGGATCCAGCCTGGCGGATCTGGGAATTCCAGGGGGATCCAGCCTGGCGGATCTGGGAAGGTGAGGGAATGTTGAGCTCCAGGTTGGAGCTGCCACACAGCCACGTCCCCTTCCTCCGGGGACACCCCAAAACAAGGTCCCTGAGCACCCCACAACACCCCCACAGCCTCAATATCCCACCCACCTCAAGGCAGCACCCTCGGAGAGGAGGTTTAACCCAAAAACCCCCTGCAGGCACGGGAAAAGGTCAAATCCAGGCAAAAACGGGAGCAGGAGCTCCCACGGAAATCCCACAGACACAGAGCTCTGTGCCCACCGGGGTGAGACGTGGGCTCCCACCACCTCCCAAGGTTTCTTGGGGGGATTTCACAAAGTTCAACGAGAACGAGGATGGAGCGCTGACATTCCAGGATGAGGAGTGAGCCCAGCCGCCCGAGAACCCGGGAGAACGCTGCGTGCTCCGGGGATGGAGCAAAGCCTCCATCAAGCACCTAATTGTCCAAAACTCCTGCTGTGGGGACATTTATTCCTGACCCCAGCTGCTGCTCAGCCTGCTCCCTGAAGCAGGAAGATGGATAATCCTCGGGATAGGTTCTCCCCCTTCCCCAAGCGCTGTCGCTGGAGGTGTCACTTGGTTTTTTTGGAAGTTCACCAAACCCTCTGCTTTTGTAATTCCACGTGCCAGGCAGCTTCCCAAGAGGAAAAAGCAAAGGGGGCAAAATAAAACATCATCACGAGGATGGAAAACCCGATTTTCCAGAGGAGATCCCCGTTCCACAGCCACAATTCCCATTTTTTGGCCAGGAGGGAAGGCAGCTCTGCCGTTTTCCGATGGAATTCCGGGAAGGAGAGCAGGCAGCTCCTGGGAGGGCACTGGCAGCGGCATTACACGCATGATTACCCTTTGGATGCGGGGAACAGGGGCTTAGCGGCGTGCTAACGCCTGTTATCCAGGTAATGGATTTACAGCACTCCCTACTAAAGTATCAGACACAGCAATTTTTTACAGCTTTCACGCTGGAATTTATGGCTCAGGGAGGCGATCTCCGTACGAGGAGAGGGATCATTGCCTTATTTAGTAGCCGAGCAGGGAAATCGATGTTTTTTTGCCAAAGTTTGTTTGGAAAGGTGAGCTGCAGGCATGTCCTCAGGGCTGAGAGGGGACGTGTGTGGCGGGGGACACGTGTGGCAGGGAGTGCCCCAGGGGTACATCCATGCACATGTCACTGTCACACGTGTCGTGGGCCGTGTGGGTGAGGCTCAATCTCCAGGAGCCCCCAGGAATGGGAAAGCAGCTCCTGGACAACCAAAATCCTGTCAGGGAGGATCTGCTCCTGGAGTTCCAGCCACGGTTTTTGGTGTCTCTGCCCCTCAGGCAGCACCTTTCCCAAAACCAGCAAACTCCACCCCAGGGATGGAAGGGCTCTGCTTCCCAAGAGATGCAGGACAACAACAAACCCATTTTTTGGGGCAGCTCAACCAGGAACGGCCAAACCTGCTGGAAGCCAACCCCAAGGACCAAGCAGGGCAAAACCTGGTGCTGTCCCCAGGGCAGGTCCTTGAAGGACAGCGCTGCCTATGTGCGCCAGGTTTGAAGGAAGAGCTCCAGCTCGTCCTACCTGCTGCTGCTGGAGGTGCAGGAGCTCCACGGGGCTCATCTCTCCGTTGGCCTCAGCTCCAGCAGCTCCGTCACGGCCACCACCGGGGCCGGGGCCGCTGCCACCGCCACCATCGGGCTGGTTGCTCAGGCTGCTCACCCCGTTCTGCGCCGCGGGCGTGGAGCGGATCGTCTCCGAGGCGGATTCAACCATCATGACTCGCTAGCAGGACCTGAAGATGGGAGAGAAGAGCCTGAGAACGGGGCCTGAGATCGCTGGATGTCCCCCGAGCCCAGCGCGATGGGATGTCAAACCCTGCTGGGTTTTAGCTGTGCTCTGTTCGCCCCAAAAAATAAATGTGGAGCTGCTACAAACACGCTGCACGTCCCTTGGCAAAGCAAGTGCAACTCACTGCTTAGAAAAATCTGCAATTCCAGCTTCCCCTGAGCCTGGTGCAAGGCACAGAGCTCCAGGAATGCGTTAGTTTTCCCAAAATCCAAAAGTATTTCATAGTGAGAGCCGAGCTGGGCACCAAGCACAGAGAACCTGCACCTCAGACTCCACCCTGAAAACCCCAACAAAGTCGAAACATTCCCTCCAAGTGCTTCATCTCCCAGCAAACCACCACTTCCCAGCAGGAAAAACCACCTGGCAGAAGGTGCCAGGCTGAGGAAACCCAAAGGAACGGCAGAGCTGGAATGTGGGAACAAGAGCCCGGCCACGCACGGGTTGGAGATTGGAAAATCCTTCCCTTCTCCCAGTTTTTGCTCAGTGGTCTTGGATGAGTGGCAGGTTGGTGGTTGTGAAGCTGAGGGTGCCTTTTTCTGGGAGAAACCCCTGGATTTGGGTGGATTTCCTGGAGGAAACAGGAGCAGCACACCCAGCACCGGTCTCTGCACATCCAGCTGGAGCCACATCCAGCCCTGGCACAGAAAAGTGGCAGCATGGAATCCAGCCAGCATGAGGGTCTCTCCCTCCTTCCCAACACAGGTTTTCCTCCATGGAAAAGCAGTTTTATTTCCACACCCCTCCATCCCACCAGCACGGGCTCAGCGCTCACCCACCGCCGCTCGCCGAGTTTGTAACAAGCTGGGAACAAAACCAGAGGGGTGGGATGAAAAAAACACCACCCCCCTTTCTCTTTCCACCCTCTTTTTTTTCCCTATTTCCCCCCTCCACACCCCAAAAGGCAGCGAGACAAACCAGGAACAACATAATTGCTGAAATGTGGCGTGTAATAATCGCTATTCAGGGGCTGATCATTCATATTAAACAGGGAGCAGCGAGCTGCTCATTTGCATGTTGGAGATTATCTGCATTTCAAAAGTCATTTCCGCAGGGGATATGAGTGACATCCATTCCCAAGGGGAGCTCCTGGCTCCCTCCCACTGTCCCAGGGCTCTGGGGGTGACACGCTGGTGGCTGTGGGACAGCTCAAGGTTAAGGGGATTATTGGGATTTGGGTTTGGTTGGAGCAGCTTCCCAAGCATGGGATGATTACAGGATGCTGCGTTAGGAGCAAAAATCCACAATAAACCCCTCACCTTTTTCCTTAAAACTACATTTTTTTCCTACCCCACTTTGAATTTCAAGGATTTCAAGTTCAGAAATACGAAATTATTGCAGTTCCTATTCCCATTTTCCCTCTGAAATCCACGAGGCCCCACGGGGAACGCTTCGTTCTGACACTCGAACGGCATCAGCAGAGTCAGAAACTCATCAGGATTCCAGCAGGGATCTGACTTTTACACGGAGAACAGGAATATCCAGAGTTACAACAGGAAGTATTAAAAATGGCAAAAAAAAAAGGGAAAAAAAGACGGTTTTGGAAAGGATATAAAACTTTCCTGGCTTTGGGCATAAACTGGAGTTTAAGTGTTGGGAATTAGGAGGAAATCTCTGCTGGTGGAGGAGCCGTGGGCTCGCTCTGGTGGTTCCAGCCCCTGCCAGAGGCGGGATGCTGGAGCAGATTCCTGCAGCCCGGGTGATTCCCGGAGCTGGGGACACCAGGCCAGCTGAGTTCCCTCTCCAAGTCCTGTAAAACTCCACTTCCCGTTCCCAAACCCCTCTGGGATGCTGAAGTGTCTGGGATCCCAACAACGCTGCGAGGGAAGTCATAAAAGAAAGTCATCATCATAATAATGGAAATATTTCCATTCCTATAAAAAGTTTTACAAAACCTTAAAGAAAAAAAAAAAGGGGGGAAAAAAAAAAAAGAAAAGAAGCCAGCGTCTGCGAGGTTATAAAGTGGATTTAAATTAGGAAGAAGCACTTTTCCAGCCAGGACGGATCGGGGATATCTGGGATGAGTGGGAAGAGCTGAGCGATGCCAGAGCACACGTGCAGCTCTGCACAGAGCCGGGAGGGATCCGCAGCATCCCAACCCTGCTGCTCATCCCTCGCAGTTCAAACACAGCCGCAGTTCCCGGGATTCTCCCGCACGGCACCCAAAGGGCTCGGCAGGATCGGACCTTCCCCGGGCACAGCGGCAGGGACGGTGACCAAAACAACACCCACATCCCGAGGGGAAGGGTGGGTTTGCTTTAAAGGGGAGGGGGGAACCCCCTCCAACGGCAGCAGCACCAGAAGCAGCACAAATGGATCGTTAATTACCATTAATTACCATTTCAGACTCGCTGAACCACCGCTCTGCGCTTTTTGTTCCCCCCCTTTTATCCAACCACGCACCTTGCGCAGGACAAAGGGAAGGAAACGGAGAATTACAAACGGAGCAACGAATCCCCCTGCCTTCGGCAGGACCATATGGCAACGAGGGTGTATTAATTACCGTGGCTTTTAATTAACAATTGCTTCATCTGAGCGGTAACATTTCCTGCCATCCCCCGGCTCGCCGCTAACCTGCGCGGGGCACCGCGTCCATCAATCCCGCGTTATTGACACCCATCCCTCCCGCAAACTGCCGCGATCCCGCCGCTTTCCAATTAACACCTCCGCGCTCTCTAATTAGCGCAATTAACAGGCTGATGGATGCCCGCAGCTTCCCTGCGAGGGAGGGGCTGGGGACGCGCGGCTCCCACCGCGTGTGCCACGATTCCCTTGGGAATTCCACGCGTGTGCCACCACGAGCCTTCCAGAAGGGAAGGATCGACACGGAGCTGACCAAAACCACGCTCAAAATGCGGGATTTTAGCAGCAGCAAGAGTAGATGAAACAGTTATTTCAACCCCTTAAAAAGCTCCCGAGGAATTTTGGGCCATCCAGACCCGTGCGAAGCAAAGCCACTGCTCCACCTGATTCCAAATCCAGTGGCACTTCCGAGCCCCCAGGACCTGCTGGAACAGCCACAGCCACATCACGAGCTCCTCAAGAAACCGCATCCCCAGCACCAATTTCAGCAGCTTTCCCTGTTTTTCATTATCCTCACACCGCAGCCCTCAGCAGTTCTGTAATTTTGGGCTGCTCCTCATCGGGTCACCTCCTCCCTGCTGTCCCTGTCCTCGAGTCCCCATCCCCAACCACTGCCCTGAGTGTCCCCAGCCACACACTCCCAGAGCTCCTAAAGCATCACCCGGGAGGGAGGGAGGAGGAATAACAGTGGGAAACACCACTGGGAAAACTGTCCCGTCGCATCTCCCTGAGCTGACACAGCACAGGTGACACCACACAAACTGACACCGAGAGGTCCCAAAGGCTGTTTCCACCCCTCCCACCACATCCCAGCTCCAAAGCAATATTCCAGAGCCACCCCAGTCCCAAAGGCGTATTCCAGAGCCGTCCTCCCAGCTCCAGCCTGGCCAGGACACGGATCCCAAAGGAGCACAGACCAAGCAAAGGCCTCAGGAACCTGCAGGATGCTCCTCTGCACAGCTGGAAGGAGAAGAGGACTCGGGAAAGCTGGATCCCAGCTCTGGAAAGTTGAGCAACCTGCCCGTCCTGCCCCGGCACCGCCAGGCTTTAGGAAGAGGCTGCTAATCCTAAAAGGCTTCGCTGGAAGAGAAGCAGCAGCCCAGGATTGCTCCAAGAGTGGCTTTTTACCCTTTAATTAACACATAAACACATGGAAATGTGGAAAGGGGATTAAAATAAAAGTCTGGGGGAGCTGAGACGAATCCGGAGCATTACTGTAAATTAGAAGATATTTAAGGAACCAGAGACCGGCTAAGCCCAGGCACTGCTTTAATGGGATCTCACCTCTGGGCACTTTCATCTCCCACTTTCCATCAACTTCTTTGGGAAGAGCCAACCTCTGGTGCTTCACCTTCACCCCCTGGCTGTCCTCACCTGCCTCGGTGCCAGCCCAGCCCAGCTACACTCGCGGGCACCGGGGACTGGCAGGCAGCGAGGAGCCTTTGCTGGCAGGGATGGCCACAGCGAGGTTCTCCTCCCTCCAAAACTCAGGGATGCTTGGAGCAGCTCACTCTTGAGAGCTGGAGAGCACCTGGAAATGTGAGGACTCCAACATGGGAAGCCCTGGGATTATTCCTGTGCTCCTGGCAAGCCTCACCTGCCTCCCCAAAACCCGAGCATCCCTTGCTCCAGGGAGCTGTCCCAAGCACAGCCAACCCCACACGAGACTCCAATGCCCACCTGGCACCTCTCCCACTCCTTCCCGAGCTTCGAGGAATGCCAACCCCATCCCGGAGCGTGCCGGGCACCGGGGCCGCTGCCCCATCCCGCTCCATCCCGGCTTCCCTCCCTGCCCCATCCCGCTCCATCCCGCTCCATCCCGGCTTCCCTCGCTGTGCTCTTGAAAAGATTAAAAAAAAAAAAGGAACCCCCACTCCATCTCATTAAGAAAGTAAACACAAGAGCCGTCTAAGTGTCTAATTAAGCTTCTAATTAGTCCCTGCTTGTTACTAATGCAAATTAGATTACGCCGCTTAACTACAGCATGTCCACAACACCCTTGTTAATTGCGGCCTTTTGAAATTAAATTACTCCCTAATTAGCATATCAAAGCCATTGATTCGGAGCCAGGAAAGATGAGGGCAGGAGGAAGCCTAACGCCAAGTTTTGTTAATCAGGGATGTCTAATTAAATAGTGACGTGGAGCACGGGGCTCCCACCTCGCTGCACGTGGGGACGCGGGGACAGCCCCTCGGTGGGTGCCGGTGGTCTCTGCACCCACCACGGATCACTGCTGGGGTGATGGAGCATCCTGTGGGCCAGGGCGCAGCTCCACCACCTGTGTCCCGTCAGGTGGGGACACAGAGCTGGCACCAGTGTCCCAGTGGGTCAGGATGAAGGTTTGGTAGCCATGTCCCGTTAGAT